TAATACTATAAATCATTACATCAAAGTTTATAACGCGAAAGAAGATTTTCCAATATATTTTTTTTGAAATTTTTAACAAAAATATAATACCAATCATGATGAATTTTTCAAGAATCTAACCACTTATCTCAGTTCGGCAACAAGGATGCAAGTCACCTACCCTGTACCGTAGGAAGACGTTGATGTGAATTAATGGCAGCTTAAGTCATAGTTAGTGCCCGAGTGTTGCGTTTACAGGGGTGCCGGTAGCGCAGTATTAATTAACGCGACCCCAAAATCTCTTCTTAACCCCTGAACTCCCATCTAAACGGTACTGTATCATGTTGATGCCCGGTAAAAGGGGAACGAGGGATTCGTTCGTTGGATTCTCGAACGAATTCTCCATAAATATTATCTGTTTCTATTCTGATATAAATGAGGGTCTGGTATGCAATGATAGTCGATTATAAAATTCTATTAAATTCGAATAGCTTTATCCCTAAAGATATTGTAACATTTCTTTTAATTTTTCTTCGATTATTTCTTAATTTCTCTCTTTTAAATAAGAATCACATCGTCATATACATTTTATTGTTAACCTAACCTATTATTATATCTAATGTTATTGTTAATTTACATAATATAACCTATACATACCTAATCTCGTTATGTTTTTTTTCCAGTAATTGTATTATTTTAGAATATAACTGAAAATTGCAAATATAACTGAATATCAATTTCAAAATTGCTGCGGGAATAAGTTTATTTCACCGACTCGCGCGATATATAATATCCGAGAAATATTATATTACAGAATTCCCTTTTATGCGTGGAAACTTTATTCCAGCGGAAAGTTTCTTCCTTAAACGCCAGAGAAAATAAGTAAATCGTAGATCTTGGAATTTCCTTCGAAGAGACGAATGGGATCGTCGAGGTGGCACCGGAGATTCCCCCAGATTGGAAAGAAAATCTCAGGTAGGGAAATGGAATCGAATGGGACGCGATGTGTCAGTGGTAAAAAGTGAAATTTATAATCCGTAAAAACAATTATATATAGAGGCCACGCTAGTAGAATCTCGTCCCGTTGCCAGCAAAAACGACCAATATCCATCGTTTGATTTATATGATCGTGATATCCGTGACTTGTACAGGGGCCGTCGATATTAAATAGAATATTAAAGATTTAGCGAAAGACAACAACGAGAAACTTCGATCCCTCCTTTTTCTGTCGAAACGTTGCTTTATGTCGTCGAATGCGAAAAGTCATATTCTTTGCTTCCGTATACACTACATGCATACACTACGTGAATAAATGCCGGCACTTACATGCGAAAGATCAAGAAACGTTTGGGCGATCGCAAGGGACGAAACCAGGCCGGCCATTTCAATAAACTGACCGTCATAAATCGTACGCGATACGTACTGGCGCGAACACACACGCATTTGCATGTGTCGCCAGCTAGCGTTTTTATATTCAAGTTTTACAAGTTGCATTTCTATTAGAATTTTTCTATAAAAACTTTTTTAGGTTATTTTAAAAGAATAATTTAATAAGTTTGTTTGTAAGTTATGAATGCATTTGAAATGCAAGTTAATTTAATAAAAGTATTGAGTAAATAAGAAAAAAGAAATAATAAGTGATATATATTTATTTTAAAGACGATAATAGTGTTTAAATGCGTCCATAATAATAGTTTATCTTATATTTTGCATTATTTCAAAATTTGTACTTTTATGAAATTAATTCTGATATATCTAATATTGGTAAAAAATCATTATTAAACAATTTATTATTAATTTATATAAAATTTATGTTTAGGTTATGTTCAATAGTGAAAATATCAAATTAATTGATTCGTCGATAACATGGAAGTTAATCTTTTTAATATTGATTATTTCTCGAATAATAGACATAAGTTTTCTCAACTGATCACCATTATTAGATGTAATTTGCATCTTAACCAATTGATATATCAAATTTATCAATATATTAATATATCTGTTTATATCTGAATATTATTTTTAATTTAATATTTTATTATAATTGTTAATTCATATCTGATATAATTTATTCGATATTATTGCACGTTACAACTATGTTACATAGTGTTTTCGCATTTATATGGTTAGTTTTTTTTTACACCTCAAATCCCCACTCTAGCGTTTTTCTTCGAACGAAGCCCCTTTGCGGTCAAGTAATAAAATTGGACTGTGGGCAGTTTCGTCCAGCCGGGGCGAACACCTTATTGCATGTAAAACATTTATGTTCTGTGGATATTGGCAAATTCCTACGTGCCACTTTCGACTCCGCGTACATCTTCTTTTCTTTCGATTCTAATCGTGTGTGTATCAGTTTTGTTAACATCTGTTTCAATCTATGAGGCATTTTAATTTTCAAATACAATATGTTAACAGAGATTTCATCACATTCGTTCGAAACATTAAATCTTATACGTGCATTCATTTAATCTATCTTACCGACAGTTATTCCGATAAAATATTCAAAATTATATGTAACAAAATGTTATATTTCTTTCACATTTCGATGTTTCACTTTCTCTCGCGTAACTAGCACATTGTGCACAGGGAGAACAATAAATTTACACGGACACGAGTCTTGGGACGTGTTACACGGAATTATAACGATTTGACAGCATGGATTCCGTGCCGCGAAACGCAACGCGGACCGTCAACGTGACGTTCAACAGTTGTATCGTGCTTCGGGAAGCGCGACATTAATCACATGTCGTACGGGACGTGACGCCAAGTATATAACGGATACCGGTCGCTCCGTGACGAGTGTATTAGCCTCGTTAAGGGTGACCACGGTGTTTCTCTGATTCTTCCTTTTCTACTCTACGCAACCCTCTCGTCCATCGCTTTCGACCCTTTGGTTTACGCACCGTGACGTATTCGCGTGCGTCTCGCATTCGTTTACGTGCATGCGTGCAACGTCATGCGTGCAATTGAATTTTTTTCGATGCCAACGCGCATGGCAATTTTGGTACATTCAACTTCAGACGGTTTATGGTTTCGATAAAAGTCGATATTATTTTATATTTGTAAAACTAAATCTAAAGAGATTTTAAATTTGATAGAATTTCGAATATATATATAGAATTTCGGTTATACATGTAAAATATATATTTAAAGAAAAAAAATACAATAAAATATTTTAACACATAAATAAATTAACACACGAGTAACTACAGTTATAAGATCGTGATCGTGCTAGACTTTTAATTGTCGAATATTCGAGCGAGTTTACATGGTTCGATTCGCTTCAGAGCCAGATCCCTCCATCTGTGACAGCGCGTCGCGATACACGCTTGGGGACCATTTAAATCCCCTTTACGGTCTATTTTAAACAATTTGCTGCCCTTGCAAACAGACTTTCCCTCGGTCGGTAATAAATCGAAAAAAAAAAATCGACAATAGGATGGAAAATATTTTTAACCTAATTCCGTTAAATTAGACTTCTCATTTCTTTGTTTCCTTCGTTCGTAACGATTAATTCGATTGAATTGATCAATAGTCTAATCCGCTCTCCGATAGGTAGAAGTCGAGAAAAGTAAACATCTTATTACGATAGAAAAATGATACGCACATGATAAAACAATCGTACGTGAAAAACATAATAATAATAATAATAATAATAATAACAATAATTCGACTGAATGTCCAAGTGTCAAACACGATCCAATTGAAAGATGATCTGAGCTTAACGAATATTACGACTGACGCAAGCATCGCAATGTATAAGCCAATTTCACACGCGTCAGTTACACACATCGGATCATACAGGTGCGGGTCAAGAGGTAATGTTTCTCGTTGAAACCGATTTCGCGCTAAAACGTTACGTCGAAGAATGTAACGATCAGCTGGCCTACCATACCGAGTGTCAAGTATGATCCAATTGAAGATGACCCTAGCCTACCTAGCGTCACTATTGGCATAATAGAAGTAAGTAGCCCGCAGCTAGTATCCGATACTATCCGTAGTTGCGACCACACGATGGGGCTTCGATTCTGTGGTACGAAGCGAAGGTGGTACGGTCCATCTCCCCTCCACCCCGCATTCTCCATTGTGTGGCTTCCACGCTCGACTCAATCTGCATCTACTTAACCTTATTTACCCAGCTGTAAATTCCTGAATCCATCTCGAATTAAAGGCAACGAGTAAAGTAGACTTTGGCGGACTAATAGTTGACTCGTTTTTAATCCGTTCGACTTAAAGATGAACAATGATATTAATCAAAGGATGAAAATTAGATAAATTTGGATATTTTTCGGTATGGATTACTTTTGACTCATGCTTCGTAGTCCTATGAGGATTATCCGGTGTGGATTTCGATTGTGGAGGGGGAAAGAAAAAAAAGAAAAGGGCTCGAAATGTATCGTTCTCGAACGTAGACCAGTCGCTCTGGACCACTAAATTTCTTTTTATGGCTCGAATCTGTGACATCATCGACACCCATAAAACGCCTTAGGTGTCCTTCTTGTCTTGAACAACTTCCTTCTTGATACGTCTCCTTTCATCCAAACCTTCTATTTTTCTTTATCTCTTTCTTCTTTTTCCCTCTGGCATTGTTTTTTCCTTCGTTCTCTTTGCCAGAACTATCGCTTTTCCTCCACTTTGTTATGACGAACTATGATTTTTCGAGATTTGACAAGAATAAAATTACTTTGAGTAGCGTGGTGCTCGTAATGTTCTGTCAAATGTGGATAAGGAGAAAGTTAGGTTAGATTGAAATTTTATATTGTTGCAATTTAATTGAGGAATATTTATCGACACGTAAATATATACGGTGATGCGTAAATCAAAATAGAGATTCGAATATTGGATTAATATATTACATGTAATGGAATACTTAATAAAAATTCGAATTCTTAAGAACTCAAACCCATTCGATAGAAAAGCAAAGAAATTCTAACCAAACTTCGTAGACACTTAACCTCCACCAGTATTCGGATGAAATATCATAAGTTTCGAAGAAGAATCTTGTTTTGAGAACTGAATATCTTCTAACTTTTCTTCACGTTCAATTTCGCTTGATATGTACTTCGTCTGGTTCTTCTGTAATAATATTAATTTTTTCTTGGACAAATAATAAACTTTTTAACTAACTATCAAATATTAATATCTCTTTATACTGTAAAATCACCATTGTGCGTGACAAGACAGCTTCATTATTTATGAATGACGCTTATGAATAATCTGATACTCGAACATACAAAAATTTTATTTCTCTTATTAATTAAATTGAATCCTTTGCACTGTAAGGTCACTGCTAGCGTGACAATGTTAACATCATTATTTATGAATTATGATTAACTTGATACTGAAACGAACAGATTTTTTATTTCTTTTATTTTCTCGTATAATTAATTTAGATAAAAGGTAAAATTTGATTTTCAGTCTGCCAATAATATAAAAAATTAATTTTAAACGATAAATTAAAAAATTAATTTCATTTGTAATCTATGTGTAGATACTTACATTATTAAATATTCAATATTAAAGATGAATTATAAAAAAAAAAAAGAATCAAGTGAAAAACAGTTGGCCGTTTGCCAACGAAGAGGACCGTTTCAACTTCCCTTTCACGAGACTGTACTATCTGATACACGCTATCTTTATAGCCGTTACATATATGTAAGTTATGTACGCGAAGATCCCCCGATGCGTGCACGCATGCTTACACACGGGCATCGGATCATTTCGATATTGAATCCCATTGATATATCCCAGCCTGTTATTATTCCACCTCGTCTAACCACGGTTCCTCGTATATCTACTTTCTTTCGATTTCTTTCCATCCTCTCAGGATGCTTATACGTTCTTCGTTTTGTCTCTCGACATAAAATCCTTCAGTTCTCTAATGATCCAATAGGATTGAGTTGGTCGATGAAAAATGATAATTCGTATTCCTCTTGCAAAAAATACGAGTTGTCCCACTTGATAAGTTATAAATGTTTATAATTTAAACGTGAAATTATTATTGAAATATTATAATATCTATTTAACCTCTTGGAATAATTACTTTCTCAAATAATAATTAATTTTCAATCTCAATCTTGTAGTACTCAATCTTGTAGGCACTATTATATGTAACAAGAAAAATGAACAAATATTAGTAGTTATTTCATAATCTTAAAATAAATTAAATAATATTTTTGTATATTTTTCAAGATGATCGAACAACTTTTTAATTATATTGAATTATTTTCAAAACTAACAAAACCACAACAAATTTTAAATCAATACTGATTCATAAACTCTTATTTTTCTAAAAATATAAAATAGTGACAGTCACCAGAATCTTTCTTCTAGTTATGTTTGAATAACAAAATCATTAAAAAAAAATTGCAAATAAAATCATTGATTATAATTATCCAATGTACAATTTTTCCACTATTTATAAATCACAATAAGAATTTAAAAAATCCATGGTGCGAAAATAGTACTTTAACTAGTTAACCTAAGCATCTAACCTAAATCTAGAAATGTTATACACGCGCCGGTACTGACCCCTGTTGATCGGTAACAGAATTTACGACTAGAGGAATCCACATTACTCCTTCTACCGATTCCATGCAAACTGCCCAGTGTCCCGTGGACTTGCACTCGATTAGCATGACAACGCCAAGTTCGAGAAGTAGTTCGCCTCTGCTCCCTCGGTTGGATTTCCAAGGGTCGGGCCACGAGCGAGAAAAAGGAAGGGAGAGAGGGTTGGTCGGCTGTCAGGCAGTATTTTTTATCTAGTCACGGTCAACTGGCTGATCGGCTCACCCGCCCATTATTAGCGCAGCACACAAACCTTGCTTCGGGGTCGCCGTTGCCCATTGTGAACGCTTGCCTCCTACAAGCGTGGTTCGTTCTACGTATACGTGTGTATGTGTGCGTGTGCATGTGGCTCGTCGATATAAAGAGGATGGAAAATGAGATGGAGCATGAATGGAAAGAAAAAGAGAGAAAAACTGGACTCCCATGTCTATCTACGTAAGGTTGGTAGCTTATGGGCCACCTAGCCTCGAAGCAATAGCCGACCGTGTTCCTCGAAGGGTGGACACCCCCTTCCAGAGGGAAGGTTTTATCTTTTTAGTATTATTGCGCGATCGCACCCCCCTTCGAAAGACACAGGGAAAAGGAAAGTGATGGAGGGGAAGAAGCGATCGGTGCCGGCTGCGATCTACGAACTGGCGATTTGGACAATGGTTTGAGAACGTTCTCGTTAGCATAGGAACGACGAGTCGCATTGCTCTGCGTTGGAAATTGTGTGAAACCGCCGGAATTAGGGTGATCTCATGTGTGTGTCCCTGATTGGAGACTATTGGCTGATCTTGCGTTTAAACAAGATTATGTATATCGTATCTTGATCGATTGAAAATTAGATGGATAAGTTGATCGTAATATATCTAATCTAATTTGTGCATGGAATATTAAACTTATAGAAAAAAAATTATTAATAATCAATATATAAGTAATGATAATAATATTAGATTTTAAAAAGTAGATTTTATAGATTGTAATATATCCAACCTAACCTATTTGTAGAATATCGAAAAAGATAAAATAATCAATTTATAAGTAACAATAATAGTATTAATTAAAAAGGTAAATTTTATAATAACTTAATAACTTAATAATAATTATAATAAGTTAATCTAAATTAAATATATAATATTTAATTTGACGAAAAAAATTAATAATTAATATAACTAATATTATTAATTAAAAATTAACATTTCTTCTATCATGCATATGAATTTGATCAATCGACCATCTGTATCGACAGTCGTAAGGAACCGCGAACAAATGGATCCAGACTGTGCCAAAGTTGTGTAGGACTTGACTTATGAATTCTTCTGGAGGATGGACGATGGGCAGCCGCCTATATAATAAAATAAACTGTCAGCAGCAGCACGCATAAAAATGCTAAAAAGCTCCATACAACCCCTGCGTGCATCGTCCAGATGTTCCCGCACCCTTGATTTAATTTTACCGTTTTACAAATTTTTGTCTTTTTTTTTCATTCTACTATTATTATGGATCATTTTTGTTTTTCATCGTTAATTATCACGCTTTCTTCTTATTTATTTTTCTCTCTCATTGCTTGTTTTTTTCATTACTAGGTATTCAGAAGGTATTCCGTTGGCCGATTCTGTTATGCAAGTGTGGATATAAGATGACCACTTAGCGTCCATCGGGTTGATGAATGCATCGGAGATAGATTCCTATCTTTCTCTTCTCGTTCCTGTAAATCATTGCCGGGACATTTAACTCTCGGCCGGTGAAGCTTGCTAACCGAATATATGTAAGGGATGCCCGTAAACCAATTATTATTCCCAATATAATTTTGATTTAATATTTAACAAGGAACAAAAAAAAAACTCACTAATCAAAAATTTTCCATAGAAGAAACATTTATATTTCTTTTTTTACCTCCAATATTATTTAAATTTACAAATTAAAAGAGAAAAAAATATAAATATCAGTCATCTCTCTTCCTTCTTTAAATATTCACATCCAAAAAATATTAAAAACAAAATTATTTCCATGAATCATCCATTCGATGAAATCTCGATGGAATTTCGATTTAAAATTCCTTTTATTTTTCATTCGAAAAACGTCTTATTATCTCCTTGCTATATCCTAACCTTCTCAAGCATGCATATCCACAAATTTTACGTGCGAAACGTTTGCACACCAGCGAAATATTCCTACTTCAATGGCCTACAATCTATTCTTCCCAACCTCGAACTATTCCCTCCTGTTTACGCAACATACGATTTCGGATTTCTCGAAAAGACGCGTAAAGTGACTTCGACGTGGCTCTACACGCGGATTAGGTCGGAAACAAGAGGTGTTCCATTGGCGAGAGAGTGGAGGAGGAGGATAAAGGTGGAGAACGGCCACAATGATAATAATAACCGGGCATTGGGGGTGTGCGAGAGTCGAAGGTTGTATCGTGAGTGGGCGGGGCCACCGATGGCAAGGCGCCTCGATTCCAACGAGGAGCACCGAGGCCGACCCTACAACCGGATAGGTATTTCCCCGTGCCATAGAAACTTCATGGAGAGCGACGGCGCGAGAACCGCTACCCCCTGGTCACCACCCACACCCACGATCACCCTCTGCGGGGTGTGTTCGAGCGTCTCTTCACAAGAATATGCTGTTCCTAACTCGATCAAATTCGGTCATTTCTACGTTTAATGATCGAATTTCGTGACGCGAGAAAACTAATGACGCCATGATGGATCACTGATACGACACCAGCGCCGCGTTATTAATTATTGGAACTTGGCATTTAAAACGACAGAGAGCTACATCAGTGCGTAATATGTGAACTTTCGTGGGTTTGAATAATTATTCAATTAATAAAAATAATGACGCTGTGATAAATCGATGACGCGATACCAGCGCCGCGCGGCTATTAACTATACTAGAATTTAATAAAGCGCTGTGTGTAAATCCATGTCATTTAAAACATATTTTAGGAGTAATGTGTAAATTCTCGTAGATTGAATAATTGAACTATTTTTAGCGACGCGATATTTCGTATCGCGTAGCTATTAATTATCGAAACTTATACTGTTTTAAGGCGTGAATTTTCATGCGTTTTTTATAGTATTGTGTATTTCTAATTTCGATATTTTAATGTTTCTTGTTTTTTCATATTTCTAGCTCTCATTTCTTTCCATCAATTCTACGTATACTTTTTACTTTTACGTTACAATTAGATTAAAAAAGTGCATTGAAAGTAATTTGTTACCATTGCTATATTTTTGAAATTTACCCGTTCCATTTACTTTCCTTTCGTCTATATCATTACAATTCACTTCGATTAAATTGCGATTACAACATCATCATCTCAAAATTTACCGATTTCATATCGAATTTCTGATTCACGTTTTACAACATATTTCATCGCGCTTACGCGGGAAGAAGCGTACGTATAAAGCCGCGATGGGAGGATTAAAGCACGCATCGCAGGGGTGACGTTTAACGAGATCATCTGGCGCATCGCACGCATCTCCAAGGGGGTCTTAAAACCTTTAACGATATCACTCGTCAATCACGGTGATGAGTGATTGATGCAAAGGAGAAGGAAGGAAGGAAGGAAGGAAGGAAGGAGTTGGACGGCGTAATGCCGGAAAACACGATCAAATCTGGGTTTGGCGAAACGTAGCGCGCAACAGTGGCGCTCTCTCTCTCTCTCTCTCTCTCTCTCTCTCTCGACTCGCATCAACGACCATGAATCGAATCGTCGTCTACCACCACGATAAAAGTAATTCCATTTGACCGGACGGGGAAGAACCGTTCGTATCCCAGCCGATCTGACTTCAAGTTCAACGAGTTCAAGGGTTGAAAATCGATATCTTCGACGTTTTTCAGTATTACAATAGCAATTTTTTTTTTTGCACGTGTGATTTATGAAGCAGATATCGAAGAATTGATATTCTCAGTTAATGGAATAACAATTGATTATTCTGTTAATTGTGGATAATGATAATAATCAATATGGAGTGCAATAATCTGGTGAAAACTGAAAAGAAAAATACAAAAACAATATTAATGATTTTTAATTATAATATGAAATATCATACTATGAAAATGCTGATTTCAACAAAGAACAATTTTTCCCTTCTCTGATCTGAATACTCGTCACAAAAACAATATGTAATATCTTTGAGTGTTAACGGCATCTCGTTAAATAAATTTTAAACAAAAAAAAAAAAAACAAGAATCTTCTCTAATCTAAAATTCACTGAAAGAATGCAATATGGAAGATCGCGACAAATTTCAATAAAAAAAAATTCTTCCTTCTCTAATTCGAAAACTCGCCGAAAACTCGCATAAAAGGAATGCATAATTCCTTTCGGAGAATCGAATACTTGGATGACTTTTGGCGTGGGCGTCATCAACGTCACTCCGAGCAATCGAGGTCTCACCCTCTTCTTCTTTCCAGCTCGCCGCAACCAGTGTACCGCTTCGGTGTGTTCCTCTTTTAACGGGGAAAAACGAGTGGCGGCACCCCGTAGCTGTTTGACTTAATTTTATGAGGGGTCGCTCAGGACATGGAGGGCGGTATACCCACCTCCCTGTGACGCCGCAGTTGGCCGAAAGGGGGGGAATCCACGACGGAGGCTTAGGAGGATAAAAATTATCCGTTTAAAGTCGAGAAGCGCTATAAAAGTGTAGTTAAGGTAGCGCCTCGGAAACGGGCTACCTATTACCATCCTCGCCTCCTCATTTGCCAAACTCCCTATAATAATTATAATTGATAAGTAACCGAGGGGACCGCGAGGAGAAGAACTTTCGAGAAATTAAACTTCTTCATTCTCTAGATCGGCTCCAGTTTAATCCACGAGCTCTTTCCTCGTTTCAATCGTAATATTTCCCGTTTTTATTCTTTCGTTTTTCATTTATTTTTTTTTCTCTTCGATTGAAATGGTATTTTTTTTTTTTTTACCATATTTTTATCGTTATCGTTACTATTTATAATCGTTATTATTAAATTATGGCAATGCCGATAGGAATAATTGAATGATTTAACTGATGATTAATATATCGCGAAATTATTTCTTTTAAATCTTTTTTGAAAAAGATTCTAAAGTATAGAAATTGAAATGTTAATTGAAAATATTAATTAAAAGGTTGCTACGATCGTAAGAAATGATCCTCTCAAATTGGAAAGCGTTGTTACACTCCTACCATACAATTGAATTTCTTTCTAGTGATATTTTTTTACCATCAAGGTGGAAAAAGTCACTAAAAGGGTTATCGGCAGTGCAAAGGATAAATTTCCACCGTCTAGTGGAATTGAAAGAAATTTGACGTCGAAAAAGGATGGTAAGGCCAATGGTATGATCGCAAAGCTTTCGGTGGAATGGGTCACTTTTATTTCTCTTTAAGAGAGAAAAAAAAAGTAGAAATGGACGAACACGCGCGTCTCCGTATGCATAGAAAAAAAAACACCTAATATTTATGAGCAAACTGATCGGTCTCAGGTCTCCACTCGCAGATCGGATCTCACTAAATCACCGTTGGTATACGCCTAGGAAGGAACTAGTCGTTCCCTCGTCCCTTTTACGGGCGGAAGACAGACCGTAAGGTCCAGCGTATGTTTCGTACAACGACCAAAGACGAGGAATAAAGGAAAGGGATATCGATCGAACGGGAACAGAGGCGAACGATATCTGCTTTCTTTTAGTTTCTTTGAAAATTATACGCGTTTGTAAACATGATTAATAAATTGTTGATTTTTATCAACAACAATTTTTATCAACAGCAGCTTAAAACAAGTTATTTACAGAGATAATTGAATGTGATATAATATAGTGTGAGAAATACTATTATACAAAATAAAAATTATTGTTACTAGAATAAATACCTAGAATCATATTATTTTCACGTTAGATTACTAAAATCATATTACTAGATACGATAAGTTACCAACGTGATAAATATCGATTCGATAGAAATTCGTTTCTTAAAGAAAAATGAACACTTTCTAAGAAACGTGAGATATTCGCAAAACCAAGTTCAGAATCATGTACGTGGTCATCGAGGAGGTAGAAGAAGGGTAGTTTGATCTGATTAGTGAGTATCGATTCTGTTTGACGACCCAACTGTCCGACTGGGTCAGGGTAGTATTCTTCAGGGTCATTACACTATCTGTATTAACATAATGTCGTGATTTCATGAAAATATCATGTCAAAAACTGTAACAGAAAGTTTTTACTTCTTCATTCATCATTCACAAATTCTCAAAATGAGATTTTACATTTTCTAAATTTTTAAAATATAATTATTTTCTACATTTTTCTAAATTTTCACTTTTTAAGTCATTTAACTACCGTTACGAAGTATATTTTTCAACTTCGTGTCAATTATAATAAAGTTGTGATTATTGATTATCGATATCTTATTGATAGTTTTCAATATATCGATAATATAATCGAGATATCATTGATAAATAAAAAGAGTTCCAATTTTTAGTCGAAATTATTATTAAAACACTTCATAATGTTCTTTTTTAATAAATTTCAACAAAATAAATTAATTTTATCGAAAAATTATTCTGTAATCTACCTGTAATCTTCTATTGATTGTATTATCGATATCTTAACGATATATAAAATTGAAAACTCAATGAAACATGATTAATCCATAATAATAATCGTTAACAACATTTTTGATAATAAATTTGAATAAAAAGAAATAGAAATTTTAATTATTTTCATTTATTATGAATATCTTAATAATATTATCGATATATCGAATCATCGATAATCATTTTGAATTATAATTCAACACTAAATAATAGTAGTAAATAATACTAATAGAATCGACATTAAAAACGAACTAAAGAGTTAAAACCAAAAACAAAAAATATTGAAATGTCAAAGAGACAAGCAAATTACTTGATCGGTCGGAAACATCGTGAATTTCCATGGTAGCATTGGACGCGACCATTGAACACGGATCGTCGATCGAGTCGTCTACGAAGAGAGTGGGTCAAGGTGGTCGTCTTCGTGATCTCCTTAGTTCCGCGTTCTACTGGCGGGTTTCGTTCATTCGTTTATTCGGTGAATATGGATCGTGTGTGCATCGACATGTACATACACGCGTGTTCCTTCACTTATACGTATGTGCGACACGATTGTATATAGGTACGGATATAACCTATATGCCGCGTCATCAACCACTGCGAACCTACACCGTCATCAGAAGTGAAAGATGCTGGCGTCGCCAAATCTTCCCTTTCTCCACCTTCTATACGCGGAGAGAGTAAACGTGACGTCACTAGCTTAAAGCTGCTAGACGAAATGAGAAGAACCGATTGATTCGTCCTTTTCGTTTCGTTTACCTGCGTATTCTCTCCTTCTCGGAAGTTATCTGTATAAGTGATAAAGAATCTTGGATTCAATGAAGGAATGAACTGTTGTTATTATTGTTACTGATGGCTGCATATATTTTTGAAGCATTTTGAATAGATTGTTATTTTTGTGATCTTTTCTTAGACCTCAATCCGAGGTGGCTAACCTAAGTATTGTAAGTGACGTGATCTAACTTAACCTAAATACAGATTTCACTGAAGTTGCACAAAAACTATTTTTTCTAATTTTGATGATTTTTAAATGTGTTATAGAAGATAACTTTTTCTCTTAGTTTTTGAGATATTACAAAAAAAAATTATTATTATTATAGATATATATCTATAACTTATGTATTAATATCTTTATATATTGTTATATATAATCAATGAAATGACATCATGCCACCAGCATAGCAATGCAAACATAAGAACAATCTTGATACTGTCATATGTGTGTGGTCTGTGATAATTTATAATCGTGATATCAATCCCTCGAAAGAAATATGATTAATAGCTGTAAACAAGATGCAAGAAAACAATCCATTATACACTGGAAGCATTTTAACATATACTGTATTGAAGTTTTCAATGTTCTTAGATTATGATATAGAACATTTACTTTCAATTTACACGATTGAAGATCAAAGATTTTATCTATTTTTATTCATTTTCTATCTATTTCAACCACTTGTGCTCATTCGTTCCACATTATTCTTCTATACGATTGATAATAATGTATAACCTATAAATAACTTTCGACGAGATGAAGCATGTTATTCCAAATGCAAATCGTTAATTCTCAATTTTTCAAAATTAAAAAAATGCAAATTAATTTGATCACTATATTTTTAATTCTAGGAAAGAATCGAAACCTTTATATAAGATCCGAGACTCGTATACACACTTGCCACTGTTTATCTAAAATTTACCGACACACAAAAGGTAGGTGAACGAGATGATGCACGTACAGAACAGAATCGTTACGTACTTACATTACATACGATCACAGATGGAAGAGGCAGCAGCGTCCACGTCACTCGGTAAGGGGGTGTCACAGAGGAAAGCCGGCACAAGGGGTGACGACGGTAGATAGAGATAGGCCACGATGCCCGCGTGACTTGACAATAAAGCTCATCTCACCTCCAACTCGTTCTGCAGCCTCCTTTTTCACTTCCCTTCTTCACTCTCGCTCGTCCTTCGTGCCACGATTCACTTCCCCGCTATATACCCGCTACCATCCGCTTCATTCGATACCCGTACGATGTAGAACCTATCTATGAGCCTTATTCGCCTGCACACTCACTTACATTCCTTCTTTTTTTTTAAGGTATCGCTTGCCAATTGGCTGGGTGCTCGAAACGTTTCATAATGCGTTCGAAAGGAGTTATAGAACGAGCGAAACTCGAGCCTGCAACCGCTCTACGACTCTCTTATCTTCTCTTTTCAAAACGATGCCAGATGCACGTGTATATACACGAATGTTGACACGTTCGGTCAACCCATTTCCTCTCTTTCTTAATAGAAGAAAAAAATCGACAAAAATGAAAACGATTTGAAGGACAAATAGATGATAATTTAATAAAATGGTCAAGAGTTTATGAAGAAGCTACATTATTAAGAATCTTTATCTTATTAAGAAGAAGATAAAGATTATTAAGAAATTAAATAATTGCTTATGTTGATTGAATTGATGATTTTGGATGTATTTGAAGCTATAAATGTTAAATACTATCTCTGCGAGATAGATATGATATTATAATATTAATAGATACTACTTATATTATTATAAGTTTTTAATGATATGGAATACATTTGCATGTAGAATTCTTGAAAATTATTCTTAAGATATTTTTTATATGATAAAGTTCGTTGAATAAAAATTATTGTAGAGTTATTTTCAATGCAGAGAAATATATGCAAGGAATATTCTCGAAATTTAATCTTAAATATATCAGTTCTCTAAGGATTGCTCTTGAAAGTTATAATTCGTTAATGATGTAATGGACAATGCATCAAGGAAAAATAAATTTCGAGATTTTATTGTCAATTGTATTCGTATACAAACATTATGATCTAAGTTTCTGGTTCACATCTACCCTCGATAATCGATTAAACGAATAATAGCGTTATTACGAGGTGTTTCAATGCTAACAACGAGAATGAAACACCAGTAGAAAGTAGCGATCAGTCAATCTGTCAGTGTGACGAGCGACGTCTGTTCAGAGTTGGCGAGGGTCGAAGACAAGCCCATTGTCAACCGACCCCTGCGGACAAGTTAGTTAAATCCTCGTTAGAACTTTATCCACCTTCCTGCTTGACACCTATTGCAAACGTTACTGTAATTTGACTTTTCGTATTTTCACATATATTTTTATAATAGTTATAAGTATTTACATTACAAAAATCATTTGAAAAATTTAAAATATTAAAGCTAGAATTAAAATACATAAAAGACATAATAAAAATAAATTATTATATAATTTGTTCATCTGATATTATCATCTTGAAGAAAGACAAGATCATTTTGCGTTTTTCTTGTCTTTTATATATCAAGTTTTATAAATTAAAATGTTAAGGTTAAAGTATTAAAAAATATATATTTTTTTATGCGTCCGAAAAATCTGAAATTCATTATTTTAATATATTTTATAGTTCTAATATTAAAATAGTTCAATTAAAACAGAGAATTCTAAAAATTCGAATTAAAAAAAAAAAACGTGAAAACAAAAACATTATACAATTATATAAAAACGCTAATGATATTTGCGATCTGCCAATTAATTATGCGTTATTAATTCTCCTTATAAATTTTTCTATATTTCCGAATATCCGAGATTATATATATCCTCCGAATTATTTGTTCTCGTAATTTTACGGATACGTATGTATGTGTGTATACACAGGGCACGATCTTATGAACCATTCTATTCCACGCTACGGGTTTCACCGAAAGAGGTGAACGTTTTGTTTACCAACGTTCCATCTCGATGGATTCATCGTGGAACGGCGGTGTCAGCAGAAACGGCGTTGCAAATAAAGTGAGGGAAGCCGAGAACGACGCGACTCCACGTCCATTCGCGGCTTCTGTGAAAACGCGTGCCAATGTTTCTCATTTTCGAAAATAGAACGTGTCAAAATGATAAATTTTGTGCTTGTAATTGTTCAACGTTACAATTTTGATCATTAATCTTAATTAAAATTTAAATATTTTAAGAAGATTGGCAAAGGAAAAAGCTAAAAAGAATTTTAATTTTAGGTTAGATTAATTCAATTTAGTATCTCGTTTTAAAATTGGTCGAATTATTTCAATTTTATTATGTTATATTATATATTATAATTATGTTATATAAAGATTAATAAGAAAATCAGCGAAAGAAAAGAATAAAGATTTCAATTTTAATTTTGTTATTCAATTTTGAATCATATTATAATTATTTTCTTTCCCAGTACTTTTAATGCAAATATTGAAATAAAAATGAAATTAAAAATAAAAAGAAAAAAATTAATTTTTTAATCATTAGACTAAAAGAATTAAAAAATATATATCTGGAGGGAAAAATCACGAAGTTTTAATTCGCTCGATCGTCACGTTGATTTTATAGTAATTCGAAACTGATACTTGCACGTGTTGCAAATATTTGTTGGTCAAAGGGGAGGTTAATGAGAATGGCAAAGAAAGAGATAGACAGAAGGAGGTTTGTTGGTGCATAAAAGAATGAAGGGGATTCCATACCCAATGCTCGTGTCTGCCTCTCAAATAAAATGCTGAGCCTGCACATTGCACGTTACACCTAGAATCATGCGAAATGCGGACCGCCGTTAACCAGAACTTTTCCTTCCACAATTTCTTTCTTCATCATCTTTTCTTTTCTTTCTTCGTACGCTTTAATTAAGAGCAATATTATTCTTCTATTTCTTAAAAAAAAATATTATTATTTTTATTAAAATTAGGAATCTTGTAACAATATTTATTTTTGACAATTTTTAGGTTAGATTTAATAAATGTTTTTGAATAAAAACTTGAATTTTTTAATAATAATTAAAAAAAAAATACGGTATGAAAAGAAAAAAAATAATTCAAAATTTTTTATATTTAGTGTATATATTAGAAAAACTTATTATTTTTTAATAAATTATCTCAATAACTATTGGATTATATTTTTACAATAAACATTATTTTTCATTTTCTAAAATATAAAATGTCTAAGGATAGGATACGATTATAGAGAATATACGGGTGAAAAAGAGAGGCAGATATATCTGAAACTGCCGATAACGACATTTATTTATAATAAGAAGTATAATAATTATTTTATATACACATGAAAAGATGTAACGGGAATTAAAACATTCTTAAGTCGAATTGGAAACATTTTCGGTCGACAGAAACGACCTAAAGTAATCCAATCACGATAAAACAATAATATAGTACTTCATATGTCATCTGATATGACAGTGGCGTAATTTTTGTATCAAAGGGATATCTTATCATTTTTATACTCATATAATTACAAATTAAACAAAAAAATGAATAAAAAAGTTTTATTTATCTCTAAAATTTTCTTTTTTAAAAATTTTCATTTTCGAAAATTTTTTTCGATAATTTATTATCGCGTAGTTATATGTCAGATAATCGTTTAAAAATTTCGCGCCAAAATTTACGCCGCTGTTCAACGCAAAAAAATATAACGAAGCCCCCTTTTCTTTTTTAAAGAATCCCCTAAAAAGAAATCTAAAATTTGGCCAATAATTTATAGAGCTACCGTATACAGATCAATTTGTGCCATAAGTACTAAGATCGATATCACTGTTCGCGTAATGAAAATGTATCAGCACGCGTTTTTATTTTTTTATTTTCTTGAGATCTATCTGGCTCTCGATGTTCGTCATTTCGAATATGATGGAAAACGGATAATTACCGATCCATTCGCGCTATATGCGATCGTAAATATTAATATAGTAGAAGCCAGAAACAGATTTTATCTTTTTATTTGGACGATGCGATCTTTGGAATGCGATTTCGAGTCGGATTTTGCATCGCGAAACGATAAAACGAAACAAAAGCCAACAACTAATTTGTAAAAATCAATTATCGCGATGAAAATGAAAAAAAAGAAATAAAATATAAACGATATTCATTGGCACAAAAATGCACAATGAGTTCGTACTATCCTCTATTTCACCGATTAATCCTCGAAGTACGGGCCGCAGTATTTGGTAAATGAAAACACGCTTACATCGATAGATTCGGATTCTATCTAATTTTTGTTGTTTAGCGTTTTCGTTGACCGCTAGATGGCAATAACCGAGTCTAAAATGATCGAGCCGCAAGAATTAAACAATCATGACCAACGAAAGATTTGACGATTTTCTAGATGGATTTATATAGTTATTTGAAAGTATTCTGTATAAATTTCTAGAATAATTATCCTAACAATAAGATGTATAATTTTGGTTTCGTCGCAATGAACAATAGTATAAAAAACTATGTAACATACTATACTCCACGCACATAACCATTCAAAATGAATAAACGAAAGAAGGAACAATTAAAAAAGATATCGAGTCATGAAATATTAAACTAATGCTATCCAAGCTTTTTTTTTTATGTATATTTCTATCGTCCCAATGTATCATCTTCTGTTTAATAAAAAAAATAAGAAAAAAAAAAATAAAATAAATCATACTAAATCTGTTAATCTCTCTCTGAATCGTCTTTTTCTTATAATGACAAACAGGATTAGAATAATATAAGGCGTGTTCCACTTTATAAGCATTGTTCTAAAATATTTCTCATTTACATAAAAAACTAAACGGTTTCTAGAAATTAAAATATTAAGGAAAATATCGTACTTGACACAATGAATAATTCTTGACTGGTATCACAGGTAATTAACACGATTTAGATTAGGTTAATTTTAGAGCATTTAACTTTATTTTATATTAAATATTTCACTATTAATATTCTTAATATTCATTTCTATATAAATCTAAAAAGTTTTTTCTAAGCAAAAAAATTATGCACGCTTTTTACTTAAATTTTTATTTAAATATCCTACATATATATATATATATTAAATTTTACTTATAAAAAATGAAAATATATTTTTAATCGATAACTTAATCTAATCTTAAAATAATACTCTATTTTTTTAAATCCAAATAATTTGAATCTAAAAAAATAAAAAATCTTGATGTATTATTGCAAAATTTTATATATATATATTAAAAAGGTTAAATAACCTAAATAACATAACCTAAATTGTTGCACTCCTATGATCCAGCACCGCTAGTCCAAAATTAATATTACTAATAGCAAAAATAATAAAAAAATTACAAATAGCAACGAACACTATCCAAATCAATTATTCGCGACGAAACGTATCAAAGAAATTATATTATGATATTATAAATTAAATAACAATTAATAAAATGCTAAACCTCTTGAACAATAGATTTTCGAGTATGAGCTTCATTCTTACTTCGTGTTTTTGTTGCGCTACAACAAGTAAATACGATTCGCTTCTATTTTTCTTCTCTTTATTCCCTTTTTGGTACAATATTTGGTAAAGACGTCCAGTCTACCACGAGCAATATATTCATATATCTATGAGAATAGAACTAATTATCTTTAATCTAATGATACCTTAGTTGCGTTGGTAACTCCATACGCGATTTACAAAGTCGATTTAACAGTCAAGGCTCTTTTTTTTTTTTGCCGTAGCTCTTAACAAATCTATACATATACATAAGAAAAAAATATGGAAGAACTAAATACTATATACACGTAGACGAGATTAAAGATGTGCTTAAGACTTAAGTCACAGATCGAAAGAAAATGAGAAACGCACATTTCTCGAAGTGTATACCCGGTTGCTTGTCTGGTCTTTCTTTTTTTTTTTCAACCCACGCGCATAGGTATGTCACTGTGAACAAAATTTTGGAAAATGATCATCTTTACGGTTTCTCTTCCCCGAAAAATATAATACTTATAATAATTATTTTAATTCGTTTATGGAGAAAAATTATAAAACATTTTATATTTAATGAAGAATAAACGAAAAATTTACAAAAATTTTAAATTCGAATTTTTAGTTTCGAAATAATTATCAATTATGAGAATTTTGATCAAAATTATTTATGAAAAGATTATAAATATAGTTATTATGAGATGTAAAGCTGAAAGGATTTTCATCATGATACGAGGATTTACGCAGGATTACGAGTTGATCCGATAGAAAATCTAAACGACAGCTTTAATCCCATTCGAACAATCACGTTATATTCTTCTTGACAAAAATATTTAACAATAAGATACAAAGCATAAAAATTCTATCGTACTAACTTAAAAGTATAAATAGAATATTTGAAATGATATAAAATATAAAAGTTGCCACTATAAAATGTTACTACTATAAAATTAAGCATTAAATATTCTATTAAAAATAAGCAATAAAAAACTTAAGAAACTCCATTTTTTAAATATCATTATAGAAACTCAAGGAATTTGAAGCAATATAATTGTAAATCGATGATCCTTATTAAAAACATATAAGAATACGAATTCCATAACAAAAAAAAAATTCTAATTGAAATAAAAAAAATATATTTATTATATCTATATTATAAGAAAATATAAATTTAAATATAAGAAAATATATAATATTATTTTTTACTTACCAATCAAGAATCTCCCGATCGCACGACGGATATCTCTTCAGGTCCAGCAAGCGCCTCCTCGGCGCTGTCGATGTCACAGATAGACTTCTGGACTGGCAGGCGCCGGTTGATGTTGTTGAGGCGGCTGCTGTTGTTGTGGTTGCTGTTGCGGTTGATTTTGCGTCTGATGTTGCTGCGGCTGTGATTGCGGCTGCTGTTGCTGCTGGGATGCCTGTTGCTGATGATGATTGTGATTGTGATTATGATTGTGGCTCTGCCGCGTTCTCAGAATCTCGCATCGTTGCTTGTAAAGATCGCGTTCTTGCTGGACCCGTGCCAGCTCAATTTTTACCCGTTGAAGTTCGTTCTGCAGGTTACGATTTGTTGTCTCGAGGTCATGCCGTTGTTGAAGTCGCTTGCTACGACAATTTTGAGCATAGCCACGGTTCTTCAATGTACGTCGCTTCTGCTTCAGGCGTACGACCTTCGCAAAATAGGAGGATTCCTTTTACGAATGAATTCGTTATGGATTTCGGATTAATAAGAGATGAATTGGTTCTGTCTGCTCGATTGCTATTCCTATATGCAGTTTTGTTAATTGTTTTTGTGAACTGGAACTTGGAAACAGCTGCAAAAATTCGAACAGAATCAAGCAAAATCTCAATACGTACTGCCGTATTATTCTCGAGACTCGACTCGAGATATAAATACGAGTGGTAATTCGACTTCGGATCGACTCGGCAATAATCGGAACTGGTCGAACTTCAGATCGAAACGTCGATGATCGGAACCGACTCGTTCGAAGATATTATTGTGTTTAAAATGTTTAAATGATAAATTAATAGATTCATTAAAATATATCTACATTTATCGTTAACATGTTAAAGTAAGTAATTAACTAATTTACAAATGAAAATAAGATATTCGTGATACATTTTATTTGTAATATATTGAAATGTTTTGTTTTTAAACAAACTAACCTTTTCGTGTCAACTCGAATTATTTCGTAGGCCAAGTGTTTTGAGAGTTTCAAATCTTCATGGATCATGTTTGAGATAATATAATTTGTATATTCTATAAAAATTTATAGAAGTCTCACAAACTGCAAATTGATATATCGAAAAAGAAAGAAATTTACATTCGATTAGGTAATCGAACGATTCGTGTCGGACGAAAGAACGATTCATTCTACTGCAGTCACAGATACCAATTCACTCTCGTTTTGCTTAAAATTATCTACCTATGAATCCTATTGATTTCATAATTATTTCATCTTTATCTCTATCTTTATCGAAAAGATTTCCACGGATAACGTAAATATTATTGCTACGATGAAAAAGAATTGAATGGAAAAGAAAAACTTAGAAAGAATCGATATACAGAGCGAAAACGAGAGGCGAAATAAAGAAAAATTTGTGAATGAAACCAAGACGAGGCATTACCTATGCGAAAGTGTCGTTAAAAATGTAAGAGACCTGACTCACCTCTTCCCGCGGGCAACCATGGAGGCGTTTGTTCAATTCACGCACGGAAAGCGACATGAGCAGCTCGTCGTTCATGAGTTCTTCCTGGGGATTATTATTCCCGCAATTTGGATAAAGACCATTCCCTGTCCTATGGGCTGGACTCGGTCCACTAGCGCCACAAGAACTCACTGAGCAAACGCTCATCGGTCTTTGCATCTGTATCCCTTGCATACTGTCTTCCATTCCTGAAATTCCACTTCCGCCCGCGGGAAGCATCCCGCCGCCTGATCCAGCACCTCCACAGTATTCTATGTGGCCTGACATCGTAATGTATCCACCTATGATAATAACATTTTCTGGCCTCGAGTATTTTTCTTTTTAAAGGACAATGATGAAAATTCAAGTTTATTCAGAATCGAGAAAAATAGATTTTTTAAATAATTACAAATATAAATATAAATCTCTTATTTGAATTGTTTCTTATATTATGTTACATTTGAACGATGTTTAAAATTATTACTCTTCGCAACAATATTTAATAACAATAACTTTTTATTATGTTTTCATAAACGTACGTCGATAAATATAATAATGATATTTTTATAAAAATAAAAACATAAAAATACAACGTCAAATTCGTAGAAATTTCGTAAGATCAATGTGCAATATGTTTACAAATTGAATTTTCAACCACTGATCATCATTAATCGCACATCCCTAATACTAAACTTATAATTCTCACAATAATATCTATATTTCTTTATGTAACTATTACTATTTCAAAAAGAAATTTATTCACAAACTTCTATATATAATACTAAATTATTTATTTCTTTTTAGTTATTTCGAAAATCTATTTTCCTCAGTTCTATTGGTATTAACCAAAATTCCTTCACTCACCAGTATGTCTGGGATAACGTTGCAAACGTTGCAGATCTTGGAAATGATGATGACTCGGCCAAGCTTCGTGATGCGGTTCCGGCGGTTCCTGAGGACAATGAGGTCTGAGATCGAGCGGTTCCTGCCTAAGAGACTGCGTCAACCATCCCATGCCACCTGTGCTGGGCTGCATCTCATCCTGTACGATCGAGCCAGGTTGTTGCAATTGCAGGAACAATCCTCTCTCGCGCGAATCCTGCTCGCTCCTATGCAATTGCAACGGTGGCGGGGACGCCGAAACCGGAGGCGTGTCCGGTGGTGTTCCAGGATGCGAAAGGGTTGTCAGATGAGACGCTGCACCCGGAGGTGCCTTCACCAGGACACCGTGCTGCACTTGGATGTGCGGTTGACCATATAAAGGATGAGGTTGCTCGAGCTCGTGCGCCGGCGGCGTCAAAGGCGCCAGAGCTAGGCCTTGAGTTTGTACCTGGCCAGGTAATTGTACTACGCTACCGTTCACCATCATTGGGGAGCTGATTCGTACCTGAAACGAACAGTCGATATTAATCTCTTGTCTTTCTTTCATTTTTCCTTTTTTTTCTCGCTTAACTATTTTTTCTTTTTTTTTAGGAAAAGTATTACAAGTTATTTAAACATTGGAAAAAGAGGTTAGAAAATTCTGGATCAAATGAAGGTTAACTTTAACGATTTTTTACTTTTAATTGAATTCACTTTTAGATACTGTTGACATTTTGGAAATAATCGTGTAAGTAAAATATGAAAATTATTGAAAAATAATCTTTTGTGAATGATGATGGTTAACGTGAGTTCTTTCAATATTCGTTTATGATACAAATAAATGTTATCATGGTAATGTATAACTGTATATGAATGAAAAAGTGAAGAGATAGAAGTTATATAATTTTTAAACAGAAATTAACAGCTTTAAAAGGTATAAGTATAATAATGTAGATTAAAGTTGTTATAAAATTATTGTAATTAAAAAACGAAAATTATAAAAAGTAAAAAATTTCTTTTTACAGGTTTTTAAAAAAGGAAGATCTTGAAAAAATTTCAAAAATTATTCGATTTAATAGCACATGTGGCAATTACATTTACATTTAATTCACAAGAATAAAATATCTCTCAATCAATGTATAATGTATGCAATAACACTGAATATAAATTTAATATCTCCAATGAATACGAAAAGTGTTCAATATTTATATGAACCAGTACTCATATAAAAATGTGTTTCATGTTTTTTTCTATATACATACACAATGTAACAATTTCAAGCTTATATAATGCAAAACGGCGCACGTGACTCTATATATACATACATGTACACAATCTCAACTTCAGTGGAAATTTTCAGCGTGTAATAAATTATAATGCATATGAATTAATTTGTTGTCTCTCTTTGTGAAAAAAAAAAAACATGATAAACTAACTTGTGAATGACCTCATTCAATGGATCTCTCCTCGATGAAAGTTTCGAATTAATCGACAGATATTCGATTAGTGTAACGATTAATGTATGTAATTTGAATGTGTAATATCTTATCATAGATTTTTATTGCTTAGAAACTGTGACATATTTATTGTAACAGAAAAAGAAATTATGCAAATATATTTTATTTTTGTGAAAAAAAAAAAATTTATCTTTTAAACAAATTGAATATTTACTAAACATTTTTTAATCATATTAAAAATACAAAAATTTATAAAATTTGTAAAAAAAATTAATTCAATAAATGAGAAGAAAAATGATGACAATATATTGCGAAATGAAATAAAATTTTAAAACCTGTATAAATTATCTACTAAAGTGCGGGTGCAAATTTTAATTTTATGAACGCTAATGAAATGAAGTACAAATGTAAATAAATTAAATAAAACTTGAATAGATATTAATTTTAGATATCTTTTTGTTTGTCCATTTTATATATTTTTGTGCATTTAAATTTCTCATAAATATATAAGAACACCCGTAGTTTAATTAATTCATTTAAAACGAATGATACAGGATTATCTCTGATAAACCGATAAATAAAAATGAAAATAACACAGAATTGAAAAATAAAATAAAATTCAATTATCCATTAAACCAGATTATTTGTGTTTCAAATTTATTGCTAAATGTATGAAAGCTAAATAGAGATTCGATCCTCTCTTTAATTATTATAACGACTATATTATTTTAGAGAAGTAGAGAAATATTAAGTTATTATTTTATTTTCTTTTAAGAAAAAAAAAAATAAAAAATAAAAATCGATTTGAGAAATTGTTTCCGTTCGAATCTTTCAATTTTTCACATGTAAGATAAAACCAATTATCGCAATTATAATTATGAAAGAAATAAAGAAAGAAATGGAACGTACCATGTACGATAGTGGTAATAATCAATCACTAACCTCCCGTTTGACGTCGGCGGGATCGAGATGATCGAGAACAAACTCCTGTACGTATTCCCTCGCGAGATGCTCCTCGGCTTCCATCTTAACCTCGTCGACCTCTACCTCCACCTCCTGCGCCTCCACCTCCTCTACCGTGCCCGTTGTAGCTGCATACGGGAACGTCTCGCTGCCTCCACCACCTCCACCACCACCACCACCGCCGCCACCGCCCTCGCCACCTCCTGGACAACTCGTCACCGTTTGTTGCGTCGTGACCACCTTTCCAGACGACTCCGCCTAACGACTATCGAAATCGCTATTCCCGATCTTCTCGCAAACGTGATACCGATTACAAATACACGCCACGTGAGCTAAACTCTCAATTTTTCACTTTAAATATTCACTGGTTAATATTATTTTGTTCTCTCTAATAAACAAAGATAATTATTTTCGTTGATCCTTGATACGATACGCGTTTTTCAAGAACACGTCGTTTTGTAACGTTTGTCCCTTGTCTAAAGATGCTAGAGAATGATGGAATTGGTAAACTTCAATAGATACTGAAGTGTAAAATAATGAAATAGAGTTTTAATAGATTAACTTTATGTCGGCGGGAATTCTTTTCAAATGTAAAAAAAAAGTGGTGTTTATAAGAGGTTAGTCAATCACTTTCTACGAACTATGTATATTTTATCACACAATTATTCCACAAAACGATCGTTTCGATTAAGAGATCAAAAAATCCACTGATCGAGTCGCTCGCAATTAGACGTCTATCGCGTCTTTGACAACACTGACAACACTGTCACTCACGGCTCACTTTTTCGCTATGTTCCCGCCAAAAAGCGAATCTGTTCCCAATTCACAGTCTTTTCGATCAATGAACTTAAAATTATTTCGCCCGATCGAAAGTACAACAACAATTTACAAACTCCGTTGCGAAAAAATCGACGAACTGTCTTCTGTTTTATCGCGATTTTTCTCGCGTGCGTGTACGTCACAAGCCGGGATCCGGTGGAAAAGAAAAAGAAGACGTGTGCGGTAAGCTGAATACGTCGTCCGAGTGGTGACTGGTCCGACGAGTGTGGGTGAGAGTACCTCTACGCGCAGGACACGTTGACGTCGCGAATGGGTGTGGCCAACGTTACTCGGCCCTCGAACGCGTGCAACGATTGGTCCGATAGGAGAGGAGTCGCCATTTGCACACTCTACTCTTGCTCCCACTACGGAGGTCCACCTTGTCACTCCCGGCACGGATCTCCCGTGCCTTCGCGGAGGTACCATTAATTTCTAAAGTGATTATTATAATTTTTCAACGGGCGCGCTGCTACTCTCCCCCACTCTTTCATAATATGCGCGCACATCGTCTCCTGATCCTTGCCCGCGTATACTTATTCTGCTCTCTTTTCTCGAAATTTTTCAATTTAGCGCCGCGATTCGTACATAAGGGATGACCCGTTATCAAGCGTTCACGATCTGGAAATTCGGAAAATAGAGAATTTATCGCGGGAGAACGATACGATTTAAGGCGTCACTAAGCTTATATCACGCACTTGAAACAAGGAACGACGAAATGCATGCCGATGAAATGTGCTGACGGCCGCGCGACCGGAATTAGGGAACGCAGAAGTTAATGACCGGTTTTCAGCGGGCGGATTTGAATCGGAAAAATTTCGCAAAGGGAAATTGAAGCGCGAGATTAAATGTGTGGCCTCATTCGTGGCGACACGAATTCGCGAGAATCGTCCAAGATAAATAATTGTTATCATTTGTTGGATCATTTTTTTAATTCTCGACAATTGAAATATTAAACGTTGAGGTTATGGAATATTTTTGTTTCGTAACGTAGATATTATTTATCTTTTTGTCCTTTTTCATTTATTTATCTTTTAATCCTTTGTGCATTTATGATAAAATTAACTATGGAAAATAAAAAAAAAGTAATAAAACGCACAGATTAAATAAAATAATAAATAGATTGACGTATAAATAAAAAATTCCACGAACTATTTATAATTTCTTTTTCGTTTTTATTTTCATACGCGATACATTCGTTACTATTTATATTCCTAACAATGAAACTAACAAAGAAACAATTTCTAAAAATTATTATAAAAGTAAATGTCTTTTTTTTTTTTCTTTTTTCTATTAACAAGAATTCGAATTCGTCTCAAAATTCACAGAGAAAATGCGAACGCGATGGGCGCGAATCGCGAACTCGCATTTAAATAACATTTCCACAAATGTGTACGAGTCTACCCTTGCTTAGCAGTCTATATTCTATATCCATTTCTCGGATGGCACGACTTTAAAATGCTTCATGAATATCAAATTTTCGTTCTCTTCTCGCACCCTCCCTTCCCCCCGTCTATAACTCCCCCCACCAAATTCCTTTTTTCCTCTTCTTCCATTTCTTTATTTCTCATTTCCACTCGTCAATGCTCCGCTTGGAAACAAATTCGTGCAATGCCATGCGTTTGTTACGTTCCGTTGTTTTGCATATATAATTACGAAAATTACGTAATTAACGAATATATGTATATATATATATATAAAAATCCTCTTTTCACGATCTTTTCCCTAAAAACACTACCCTCTTTCTGAAATATCATTTCAGGCCTAAACTTATTTTTCCAAAACGGGTTAATAAAATTCATTTACCTTCAAATCTCAAATCGCACAGGTGTACCGGATTCAAGGCGTGAAAAAATTTCTGAGAATCGTTGGGCCACGTCGATCGCTGCGATGCAAAAAATTTTTTTTCAAACTCGTCGCATCGCGAAATCTGTGCTCCGCTTTTGGTATGGAGTGAGGAGGGCGAACGACGAGGGGGGGAAAAAGAAAAAGAAAACGGCAGGCAGAGGACATCGAAGTGCAGCGTCGACAAATTCCTCAGCCAACAAAATGGCCAATCCTATCGTCCTCCTCCACGCTTCTATTCCGGGGTCTTTGCGACACTCGCCCGTCTAGACCAACAAAATTCTGTCTGTCTTGTCACCTTGGCACAGGCTAGGTTAAAGCCACGGATAGACCTTAAAGTTTCTTACGTTTTTCCTCATCGTTCCTCTTTCCTTTTCAATCGAAACGGTTTGTATTATTGACACTTTTGCATACAATCGATATTACATTTGATCAAAAATGTAACGATAATCGTAATAAAGATTCGTAATAGATTCGTCGATGAAGACACCAATATGTTATTAATTCATTTTACGTTGGTCTTCGGTGAAAATGTTTCTCCTTTCGTTGTTTGCGCGGTGATTCATACTCGATGCTATTGATAACCGTCCATGATCGGTATTAAACTTGTCCATGTCATGTTGTTTAAAATGAAATAATAAATTCGTCGTCGCTGAAATTAATAATTAATAATAGCGTACAAGTTGAATAAACAATTGCATTTTTGTAATTGCAAATCTTAAAAAATTGAAAATTAAAATCGATAGATTGAAATACGTAATATTTATTGGATCGTGGTTCGATGCCCTTCTATCGTCGGATGGGCGACGACCTTTAATCGGCTGTTTGCATTCGACAACGCGTGTCCTAAAGAAGTGTCGAGCGAAGAGAAATAAGCGTTAACTGTAACTGGCTAAAAAAATTGCGAAACAGGCCGATGCGACGTGAAGACATCGGTATGCTTGTTTCAAGTAACTTTTTTTTTTTTTTTTGAATTTCTTTTGTAACGATCATTGTAAAATAATATTTTCCGCACGAATGATCGCACGTTAACGCATGACGATTCCCAAAAGAATTTTGAGATCCTCATTAAAGAGGTTATAATTTATAACCTAATTTATAATATCGTATCACTTGCTGAAAAAAATTACCAACTTAAAATTTATACTTACTCGAGTTATTATATAAAAGGAATGGAAAAAAAAATCATTGTTCATTTATAATATAAATTTCGAAACTTGCAATTTGGCATTCTTGATATTCTTACAATCATCCTTACAAAGATTCAAACTACGCAAAGTCATTTCCACTAGAATAATTTAATTAGTAAAATAATAAGTAATAATTTTTGTCACTTTTCCGGCAAATGTACAATAAAGAAAATTGATTTTAAACGAAGTTTATTTTCGTTTGCTTGCGTGGAGGATCGAAACATTTAACACTATTAAACACATAGTTGCAATATTGTATGCATAGTTTATAAATGGAATGGGGTGAAGGTCAAACGATATGTGTGTATATAACTTGTTGCATTTTTAGAATAGTGTAGAAGTTTTAAGCGATAATGCTGCTGCAATGCTTGCTCTTTATAGATGATTACATCATGTTATAAAATGATATAATTAATAGGACAATGTTGCTTACCACAGAAAATTATAATTAAAATTGCCAATAAAGATTTTCGCCACATGTGTTTATGAACATAGAAAATTTCAATTACATATTATCAATGTCCAATGTACTTATTTCATCATTGATAACAATAAATTAATTAAGGTAGTTTATTACCAACCATATTTTTCCTATATATACAGAATTATATCTCGCAGATTAGATCTTTTTTTTTTTTATATTCTCATTACTTATTTATAGATATTCAATATTTTTATAAACAGACATAGATAGTAACAAACTTATTGCAAAATCTAAAACACATATTAAATAGATTAACAGTTTCAATTTTCACCAAATCTTGTATTAATTTTTAAAAAAATAAAAAACTATATTTATTTTATTTATTATTTTAAAAATATCCTTCCATGCAATTAGAGGATAATGCTATTATAAAAAAGTTAGGAAACAGTATTATAAATGGAAATACGAGATAATGGTTCCTTTTGCTCGTTATCATATAGTTGCATGACAGGTCAAAGGACACTGATCTATTGCATCTGGTAGAAGAGGTCCGGTTAACGCGCAACAAACTTTATACCGCGAGATTTACGACAAGCAATTGCATTCGAAAGCCAAACAATTCCAACTCTCGACCATATTCTATCTTTTTCTTTCACTCCACGTTCGAACGTGGATTCCTTGGGCTATGACTCTTTTGATTTTAACTCCAATACCAATCTCGGCCATTTATCCATCTTCTATGGATCCCCAGTCGTTCGACCAATGATACGAAATTACGATATATCCAAAACTTTCCTCTGTTTATCCTTTCTTTTCAAACGCAACCAATCTCTTGTACAACTCCTACTCTTTTTCATGCATTAAACGAAACTCTGAAAATATTGAATCATTAATTGAACATCAATGATACACACCGATTTTGATGAAATTTTGCACGATTTTTCACTGATTTGATTTTATTATGATAATTCGTATCTCTTTTTCATTAGACAATTAAGAGAGTTTCGTCATTTTCTTTCTGCAAAAGAACGTAGAAATTAAATTTTTATTTGCTAAAATAATTATTCCGTTTAATAGGAAAAAAAATATAATATCAATATTATACTTATAAAAGTTACGATTTCAGAATTTCTTCTTTTCTTCAATATTCTCTATTTTTAATTTTGGAGATGATTGTTCATTGCCCAAATTTAACAATTTTTCATTTCCCATCTAATTTCTAATATAACCTATAATAAATAAAAAGAAAAATTTCAGAACTTCAAAAAAATGAAAGTTAAAGTAGAAATTTTCACGGTGATTTTTTTAAACATATTTCATGAATTTATAATGTAATTGAAGTATAATAAATAAATATAAGTAGATGTTATATTCCTAAATCGTAACGTAATGGAAAATATCGATTAGACTTAAATAAGAATTATTGGTGTTTAATAGCAATTAATAGTTAATTAACAATCTAATGAATAAAAAAGCGACACGCGTGCTACTAATCGTTGAATTAAAAAAAGCAAAAAATAATTGTGCGTTTTTTTCTCGATAAAAGGCTATTTGATGTTAAATCGATAACCCAATGAAACGATGAAGCAAGAGTAGTCTTCCTCATGTCGTTGTATCTATATTTCAATATTTTTGCATTCTTTTTTTTTTTGTTCATATCATGACATTCATGTTATCATTTATATCCTTTTAAAGTCGCATATTCTGATCCCCTCTATTATTATTACTTTAACGATATAACCGTCAGAAATGTATCGATAAGAGATTGTTTTAGGAGTACGACAGGAATATTCGATCGTTGATTCAATTCATTTTAACGAATTCCTTTGTTCAATAGAAAAATTAATACGAAAAGATTGATCATAACGATATTATATTATTATATTTATATTCTTATATTTATGCCCTTCTTTTATATGTAATATCTTACTTTCGTTATAATTTTGTAATAATGATACAAATTTTGATACAACATAATACATATAATATAATATCAATATCTCAACGAAGTTTGTCAATTATTATTTCTTCTCTACAAATTTCCATCTTTTTATTTCTCCAAATTTTTATTTCTCCAGTTGAGAATCAATCTGGCTTCTACTTAGCGAAAAATACACGATTCTCTATTCTCGTTAATTTTCAATCCCATTATTTCTCAACTCAATAGTAATATCAAAAACACCAAATATCTCCATATCTATATATTAGCATCTATATATTATAATTATAGAATACGAAAGCAACTTGGACAGACAGAAAATGGTAATCTTTACAGATGCAATTAAAAGTCATCAACCGCGACTCTAAGGAGGTTAAGTTTATGGAACGCGTTTCAGTGTGAGGCTAAGACTACGAGAGAGAGAAGCAAGAGTAAAGGTGGCTGCTCACGGGAAGAAAGAGGAGGAACGAGGGAGAGTGCTGAGCCAGCATAGCTGGCTTGCCAGCCTGCACATCGATACCAACCAGTCAGCCAACGAGCCAACCTACCAATGAACCCACCTACAGTCGATAGGAAGGTTTTTCTTACGAGAAAAATTATGTATGTGTAATAATTCGAGAAATTGAAATTTTTCAATTGGAATCGTTATCGATAACTCGGCTATTAATCGATTATTCCGTTTGGTGCGTCTAATGTTACTGAAAGTTTACCTTAAGGCTAATTATAATGAGTCAATAACGATAAAAATGATAAAAAATATCATTTCATTACTGATCATAAATTATAAAAATTGATTCCTGGTGAAATAGGATTTTTTAATTTTGAATATTATTTTATCTTTGTTTGTTAAATAATTTAGTAATTTGGTAAATAATTTAATAATTCTGAAATTTAGTAAATAATCTAGTAAGTAATCTAGTAATTTTGTAATTTAGTAAATAATCTAGTAGCAACTTAGTAATTTTGTGAAAGATTCATTCATATCAAAAAATTTATTTTTAATATCACGTAAGAAACATATTTATATTAAAATTTTAATATCAGTACTGATTATTTTATCACACATATTTTTATGTTTTTTTTTTTATTATATTACATATAACTACAATTATATAGAAGTATAGAAGTTGTATACATACATATGAACTGAAACTGATACGTAAAACTGAAATGTAATAAACTAAATATTGCGATATTTTGTTATTAATTTACTTTAAAAGAATATCGATGTGTTTTTAGAATATGTTTTTTAAAATACATTTATTTGAATTAGTATCAAAGTGATAGATAAGAAAATATTATACTGCTAATAGTGATTTTCAGTACGACTGATCTTACAGTGAAAATAGCACATCTTAATCAGACATCGAGGACCATTCTAAAATTCTAAATATATTTATGCGATCTATTATTTAATGTGTATTTATTTAAGATACACTTAAAAATAATCAGTATTACTATTTTGCAAACATGAAAATTTTAGGTTTAAATTTTTCATACTAGATTCTTATAATCGATCAAAAAACGAGAACTGATAAAAAATCTCCATAATCTAAAATGTTATCGATAATATCGATAATAGATATTATCGAAAAATTATCGATATATTATCGAAATATTATTAATATTCCAAAACGAATCCAAAATTTATTTTTATAACAATTTCCTAATATAACAATTATTTTATAACCAACAAAATGGATTTTCAAAAGTGTAAAATTTCAATCATGTTTCAATTACAAAACAATCACTGTGTTAATCGAACTTTTAATTATCCGTCGTCGGCTTCGATCACCGCAATCAGTCATCTAGTGAAACTCGAATGGTCGAATAGAAACGAAACGATTCGCAATCAAATCCCACGGCATCGAAACCCTAACCTTTTTACAGAGAAAGCCTAACTCGTCTACGTTAATATCAATTTCTATCAATATCCAGGAATCGATTCGTGAAATATTTCAAAAATCACGAAACAAATTAATAATTATGATGATCGTATTTAAGAATAAATTCATTTATCGTAAGAAGAAAAAGTGAGATAGAAAAAGAAAAGCATAAGAGTGGAAAAAAAATTGATGGAGAAAAGAAACGAAAAAAGGATATGAAAGGGACAAAGAAAAAAAGGAAATAATAAAAGAGGAATATAGAAAGGAAAGAGGAATTTGGAAAGAGCGAAGGAAGGAAAAAGGCGACGACGATAGAGAAGAGAAGAGAGGAGAAATTGGCAAGAATGAGAGAGGGAGAAAGGAAATTTGACGGTGGAACGGCGAGAGGGGAAAAGGGAAAAAGACGAAGAGCGTTCGCCGGATAATCCTTGGAGTCATTTGTCTGCCGGCTGTTGAGACGCTCATTTGTTCGCGGCGCGATGACAGATGACAATGAAGTAGAGATCGTGCCACGGTCATGGAGCGTGGGTTGATAAAGGTGGAGGAAAGGGGGAAAAAAGCAGCGGTATACCCCACCTCTAGCAGTTAGGATGCAGATCTGTTTGCCGTTCGTGCCTCAATTATTCTCGGATCATCGTTGTGTATCGGTCTGCAGAACAATCGAATCGTATTTGTGTCGCCGTGATTAAAAACATAATGTTCTGTTTCGCAAGCGGTAAGTCGCTCTCTGAAAAGAGAGAAAGAGAAGGAAGTATCACATTGAACGTATTCATATACAAAACTTTTACATACAATTCTTGTTATAACATTTTATTATTTAATCGAACGTCAAATCAAAAAATTCGTAATGCAATGATTATTTTAATGTTTTAGGCTTTTATTTTTATTTTTTTACTAAAAATATATACCTAGTTTATCGAAAAAAGAAAATAAAGTAAAATATCGAAAAAAACATCCGGCCGGTCGAAAACGAGGAAACGGGGAGTCGTGAAGGATGAAACTAAGCGCTGGTATATTTAGCAACTTCCGGGCTAGATCGGAAGTTCCGTCATATTTGTCACCATGCCGTTATTAATGGCTGGTTTTTATTGTTTTAGCAAAGCTGAGGGGGAAATAGAAGGAAGAAGAGAGAAGAAGAAACCATCGTTTCTCTTTCTGGCTATTAAATTTAATAGCCAATATCTCCCCTATTGCTAACACTTTTTATGCCTTTTATCTTCTTGCGATTCTTTCAAGATAAGTAAACATTGATTTTCTTTAATAAATCGATCCTTCTTGTTGATTGTTGATCCATATTTTTTACAACTTTTTCTTTAATAACATTCATCATCTATTTATTTATTATAAATATTTATCCAATATTTTACTACTGGAAAAAAGAAAAAGAAAAAGAAAAATTAATCGTATATATATCGTATATATAATATCTGTTTAACATATATAACATATATAACAAATTTTACTATAATATGAAAATAATAGGATTAAAATTTTTTCATATTACAGCTTCAATTTTGTGTAACAATTATTATTTGTGTATAATTGTTATTTGTGTAACAAATAATAAAATAAATAATTTATTTTTGTTCGGTATGTATTTCTAATATTAAAGAAAAATTAAATGTGTAAATACATATTCCTCGATGGATCTTGGCGTCCACGATTGTATCAAATGGCGTCTTTATAAACGTCTCATACAAACGTGAGATATCGCAGCATGTCGAACAACAAAAGTAGATTGTAACGACATCTTGCACGAGACATCGATCTCTACAAGATCTCTACAAGAGATCATAAAGAAGCGACACTCGCACAATTCAATTCACGTTTCTCGAAACCACTCAATTCTTGGTAATGTCTTATTAATAAATGGATTCACAGTATAGTTCTGTCTTTGTTAAATTTGCAGTCATATACTGATCGCATCTGCGAGATCTTCGTCGTCTTGACTTCAAAACAGTGACCTTCGTACTTCGTTTATTTAATTTCTTTTTCTCATGAAATAATATCGTGATAATGCTTATTTCTGAAATAGTTGAAAACCTAAATAATGAACCCAAAATGAAAATAATACTAAAGTTTTTTTCAAAGGTTTGTAATGAAAGTAATGAAAATAATATTAAAATAATATTAAATATAATTTAACAATTTAAGTTGTACAGATGTATTTATTGAACATATATTATAATACAAGAAAAACGTATCGCATATATATATATATGCAATTGCTGCGCATAATTTAACTGCGCAATTAGTATAAATTAAAATTATCCCGAGGATAATAAATTTTTCAAATTGCTTGTTTCGCCTTTCCAACAAATAAAAAAAAATTTAATAATTCAGAAAAGATAGTTTATCGAATTCAATGGTCTTGAAATATGTTGTCAAAAATAAAATTCTGAACACCTTTTTTTTTATTCCGCTATTCAATTTTAGAAATATCAGCAAAAATATTTTTAATACAATGTACTTTTAATTTTAGGTATAATGTTCGAAATAAATTTTTGAAGCCTAACGAAAATAAATGTAAAATATCTATTTTATAATAATTTTTTTATTATGGTAAGTAAGAATTTTAATTTTATAATAAATATTTTATATTATTTTATACGTTATATTCATATGTTAAAATTATGCGTCGTAGATTTTGACACGAAAGACGATCAAACGAAAGCATCACGTAACGCGAAGCCGCGGCGTGATCCGCGAGGTGGTTTCGCGAGGAGAAGGAAGGCAAAAGAAACCGGGTATCGGGTCGCATCTGGCATCTGCAATCAACACTCGCATGGTTCCAGTGACGTCACGTCCGGTCATCTGCCGAATAAGCAGAAACCGCGTAACCAGACTCTATCTACGGGAAATGATTTCGAAAAAGAAGGAGCGGTCAACGGAGAGCACGTGTCATACAAAACGAACACGGAGATTTAGTTAAATTTTGTGATCTAATTAAAATTAGTAATCTTCTTTATATCTTCTTTATATCACTTTAACGGATATACTCTACATACAAAAATTAATTAATATTAATAATTATCATAATTTTATATAAAAATATTTTGTTTTTTATCTATTATAATAGAATAATTGATTGTGAATCTAATTTATTTTAATATTTTTTAAACTTCTAAATACATAGACGAAAAAGATCAAAATAGAATGTCCTATAACCTATTTTTTAACATTTTATAAACTTTCAAGATTCAAAATTAAATCGCGTGCACAAAGAAAGTAGTGCAGCTAACGATCAGAAAAAAGCGCAATAAAATTGGTGAATCAAGGCAGACCAAAGGGTTGAGAACAAACATCGTTAATTTGCACGCAGAATCCCGCTGGTTGAGGCCGGAAGGTCAACATTAATCGCAGTATATATATATGCTCGTCAAACACTTTGCATTGGACCGTATAATTTGGATTCGTAGTACACCGAAGTTTCGGTTGCTTGTGCTACTCTGCGCCCTTTCAGCCGACCTAATTGTCTAATTGGCAAATAAATCCCATTGTTTTCCAATAGTCAGATCGATACGTATACCGCGGAAAAAACTTTTGTCTATAATTGATAAAAATTAATCGATATAGTTAAACAATTTTTTAAAAATCATTAGACATCGATTTTTGACATTGTAAGTGTTAACTGTTTTTATGCATTAATCTTTATATTGTATTGTTGTATTCTTCCTTTTATTGCATAATGTGTTTCTTGCAAAAGTATATGCAAAAAGTTGATGAATTATAAAAATTTAAAAACTTTTAAAAAATTAAAATTTGATCTGTTAAATTTTATAAAGATTATAATAAAAAAAATAATAAAATATTTAATTTGAATTATACGAAAGAAAGAAAACTAAATTATATTTACAATATACCAATCATGATCTTTACAAATTAAATTTATTTATAATTAATATTTCTTATCAAAAGTTAAAACGCGCATTTTAATATGATCATATAAGAATCAATATATAATTTAAAATAAGATTATAATAAAAAATATTTAATAATATATGCATGTAACATTTAAAAATTAGAATATAATGATTTTAATATTAATTGTATTATGTCTAATATTGTAATAATATAATAATAATAATAATAATAACAACAACAATAATAATAAAAATAATAATAATTGTATTATGCTTATTGCATTCAATCAAATATTATTTTTGTATTCAAATAAATAAATATTTCGTAAATATTATGTAATTTAATAAAGATTTTGTGGTTAGAATCACGTGCAAGGGAATGAAACAGTAGGATGATAAATTGAAAGGAGACAGAAATCAATCATTATCAGACAATAGTTTGTTAGTGGGATTCACTTGATGTATTGTTCTCTGGAAATGTGGATTCAGCTTCAATCCGCAATCGTTCTTTCTTCACGTTTAAACCCTTCGATATATACAATTCCCTTACATGCATACTAATTAAATTGACTTACTTAAATTCAGCTTCTACTTAAGGCTTAACTATTAAATTACATCCCTCTTTAACTAATTGATAATAAAGATGTTTGGTAATCTAAATTAACGTAATAATTCAACAATGTAATTAATATAATCTTTTATATACATTTCATTAATCTCTTTTACATTTTAAAAAATAATTTATATATTTATTATATAGTTTTCATCTTTTTTATTTAAAAATAATGATTAAAAATTTATATTTTTAGAATACATAAAGTAATTTAAATTATTTATCATGATTTATCATTAATTATAAATAAAAATTTTCTTTATACACATATTGTGTTCTGATATTTACATATTAAATTGTGCTCTTTACATATTGTATATAGATATTTTTATACATATATTTTTATGATTGGATATATTATATTATTACAAATTATTATGATGATGAATATATTCAATTAATTTCATATCAATTTGAAGTTATTAATAAAGCAAAATACAGATTTCTATTACATTGTAATTAACAAGTTATATTTCCAAGGCCTCAACAATGCAATTATTAGCAAAGAAAACTTCAAATCACAATTCCATAATATTATATATTAATAATCAATAATTAACCACTTGTCTGTAATCTTTTCTATTTGTTTTGTAAGAATCGGATTTCTCAATCGTATTTTTAACTCAAGTTTTCCACCTGTTGGCTTTCTTCCATCCATTAACTACAATAATAAAAATTTTTTTAATATAACATATTTTAAATAATATTTAAACATATATAAAAATAATATTTAATAAATAATCTTTATTATTTACCGGAAAAGAATCGTGAAGTACACATTGAGTTTCCAAGGGTTGTAATTTCACTGTCACTATACCTAAAAGACTATCACTTCTAAAAAATCCTCTGTAAGACAAGAAATTTATATTACATATAATAAAAAAAAGATGAACATTATAATTCAAAGTTAAAATTAAAACAACAATTACGTTGCTACAGATTGCTCGTGCAATATAAATTATATATATCTTATAAATCATATATATCAATTTAATCAATATTAATTGTTTCTTTATATAATCAATTTTTATTCATTTCTCCGAATAATCAGTTGCAATAAATTTATAATAAATGCTATTTTCAAAAAAAACATCTGCAAAAGCAAAAAAAAAAAAAAAAAGTAAAATAATAGCATATTATGAATAGTTCAAGAATTATAACAGTAACAAAAATATAAAATTTTCATACCTTGGATTAATGCAACACAGGATAGGATTCAGCGAGCATCTGCAAGCAACGTACTAATCTATTTACTATTTTTAATATAATTATATATCTGATATTATATACAACACTATATAAAATAGTATAAAATATCAATTAAAAATTTGAGATACACAATGTTTTTTTTAATATTAATATTTTAAAAATATTATTTCCAAGTGATAGATAGTAATGTACAATTTACTTAATTCTTCTAAAAAACTAAATTGTGAAAAATAAACTTATAAATCAATATACTTAAAAATATATACAAAAAGATTATTTAAATATCAATAATTTGATTATATCACTATTTCATTACCCTTTAGCCCAAACTTGACATTTCAATGCATGTCTCTTGAATGCTCGTTGACATTGTCTTGATGTACGATCTATTCCAGTTAATGAAAATATTGCCTCATATTCTGGATTACATGTTCCTTTAATAGTAGTTGTTCTATCTGATTGAGGATTATCTGAAGGATAAGGAAATTCCAACATAACATAAGTATCTGCATCTTTTGAATAATTTACTCCTCTAATTATTGAAATTTCTATGTCACTATCACTTAAATCAGTACAACTTCTGTAAACCAGCATATTTATAATTATAGAATAATAATTTTTATTATTAAATTATAAATTAAGAAACATTAATATACTAACTGAACAATTGTATAAGTTTTTATCTCATAATGATGTTGTGGCGGTGGCAGTGCATCACGTTTTCGAACTATTAGCATATCAAAATCTCGTTTGTAATTCAATGCAAGCCGTTCCCATTTATTATATCCAGATACATCTCCTAATGCTTTACAGTGATCTCTCGTGCATAAACACCACTATAATATTGTATAATTTACAATAAAATAAAATAAAATAAATATAAAACAATTTAAATTATAATTTAATTATAGAGAATATTCCATTTTAAATGTATAATATAAAAAAATATTTTAGTAAAAGTTATATGGCATATGTTGTAATGATCAATGTTTGGAATAATCTTGTCTTGTGAATTATATTTAAATTTTTAATAAATGATTTAATAAAAGATAAGATATATAATAAAAAATATAAAAATTTCATTTAAAAATTAAATGATTTTTGTGCTTCAAGACAATTCAAGATTATCCCAAAATCAAATACTTATTATAATAATATATATTCATCAATATTATAACTTTTGTTTGAAATATTTTTTCATATTTTTGATTATAGAAATAATCATATGTATATATTTAAAATGGATATAATATGTATATATTTTCAGTTTACCTTAATTTGTTTTGTTAATTGTGATTCAAGATTTTCATAAATTTGTTCGTCTGTTCCATTTGCTTCTTCTAAACAATCTTCGGTATTAATTATTGTGAAACTATCATTCAATGAACCTATTATACTATCTGCATTAAGTTCTTTTTTTGCTTGTGGAGATAATGGTATGGAATTCATATCAACAGGTAAGCCACCTTTGCTAGCTTCAATCAATGGATCTATTCCTTTTGCTTGTCTTAAATAAGTACGAGCTAATTCTATATCTCCATCTTTTTTTGCATTAAGAGCAGCTTGTTTTAATTCATGTTGACGTTGTTGCAATAATGTTAGCTGTTTCTCTGCATGTGATGTCTTTTGAATTTGTTTTTTTCCTATTACTTGTATATTATTAATTAAATATTATAATAATAAATTAATATATAGAATACTAAATATACCTGTTTGTGCTCTCGGAGGAGAAATAGAAGTTTTTGGATCTGAAGAAAGTTTATTTTCAAATGATTCAGATTCTGAACTAGTTGGTAGTTTTGATTCTGGTGGTTTATCATTTTTTTCTATTGTTGGATCAGGAACAGATTGTGTAATAACTGTTGTAAGGGGTTCAAAACCAGGTGGAGTAGGCAACTCATCAAGAGGAATGGGTTTTCCACGAACATATAATTTAATAGCATCTTCAAACTGTTTACAAATACGGCCATATCTGCGAGCTTTATGCGAATTTCCTTCGCTTTCTGCAATTGCTTTCATTTTTTTACATGCTTCAAGACGTTCTATTAAGGCAGTTTCTAAATTTTCTGGATTTGATGATTTCACTTCTGTTTTTCAATAAATCATTATGTATTTAATTTTATAATAATTTTTAACTTTATACTTAATGTCATATTTGCATAATATTATATGTATAAAATAAGTTATAAATTATTATAAAAATTTACCTGCTGGAGTTATATCTATGGAAGATTTTCCTTGTTTTTCACTTTCTGTTTTTTCTGATTTTTCATTTGATGATATGATAGTAGCTGAATCAGGAATGTTTGGAGAGAGTGGCATATCTGATAAATCTACTGTTTCTCCTTCATTTACTGCTGAAATAACTATATCAAAATGTTTTGCTATATTTAACAATTGAAGTGCCTCTTTCATGTTACCAGCTTTTTTCCATGCTATTGCAGCTATTTTATATTCTTGTTGTCTATCTTTTAATAATTTTAATGCTTCTTCATCTATACTTTTTGTAGAAGTAGGCTTTTCAACAATATCTATTTTTGCAGGTAAAATAGTATCAGCCATACTTGTAGCAATATTTTCTTCTAAAAAATAGTGAATGGCTATACAAAATTATTCATAAGAAAAAACATAACTATCAATAAAAATGAAAAAAAACCTGTAGATTCTGTTTTATTAGTTTCTAATATATTTGCATTAGTTTCATTTATAGCATGTGATGGTAATTGTGGTGGTATATCACTTTCATTAATAGGTTTCCCAACTTGAACATTATTCAATAGTTCTTTAAGTGTTTTAATGCCTCTATTAAATCTTCTTGCTCGACTTAATTCATTTTCTTGTTTTGCTTTTTTTTTCAGCAATTTGATAAAGCTGTAATCTTTCTTGTAACAATTTAATTATATTTTCTATAGATATATTATCATTTTGTGTTTTTGATTGTTCTATATTTTCAGCTATTGAATTCTCTTTTTTTTCTGGAAACACACTTTCAAAAGATTCCTCTTCACTTGTAATCATCTTAAGTTCACTCTAATATAATATAAAATGTCAAAAATCATTTGAATAAAATTATTATTAAATAAATAAAATTTTAAAATAGAATTTATACCAATAATTCTGGATCATTTTCTCCATCAGACAATTCTTCCTCAAAATTTATATCTTTCATATTTTCAGTTACTATTACATTTAAATTTTCTTTAGGAAGTAATTTACGAGATGCTATATATATATATATATATATAAATCAGAAAAGATATTGTATTATACTTAAAATAATAAATATATATGTAATATTTATTTACCACCATGTCTAGATTTTCCAATATTATCATCATCAGCTGTTAAAGCTGCTAATTCAGCTTCCAAGTCATCATTATCATCATCGTCATTATCCATAAAATTATTTTCTATACCATCCAAATTTTCTGGCATATTGAAGATTCCATACTATTAAAAAATATATGTTTAAAATAATCAATTAAAAAATAAGGTTAAAAATATTACCAAATAATACCTGCGCTAGGTTATCAGCAGGTCGCGTTTGTCGTTTTAAGTTCTCTCTTTTTCCAAACATATTGTTTATGAAATATACTTATTATCATAAATCAATCAATAAAATATTAAAATTATTTGAATAATCAAAATACATTAGGTACAGGATATTGTAACAAAACAATGTTCTATACTATGATGTGTCATCCATCATATAATATACAAGGCTAATGTAATATTTTAATATAGTATCATTCACTATTTTCATGTATGATATAAGTATTTAATTATTTAAACTTTTATTATTTCTCAATAAGAATAAATAATTTCATAACTATATATACATATATTTCATAAATATATGTATGTAAGTATATAAAACAATTTTATTTAAAGATTTATATTAAATTATTATATATTATTCTGTAAATTCAATATATTATTTAATTTCATTTTTTGAATATATTAAAAATATTACTTTTTAAATTTTAAAAACTATAATATATCTAATTTCTTTTTATAGTATATTTTATTATTTATTTTATATTTTTTATAATTCTTAGTAATGATTATAAGTTTCTAATAATATTTTATATTTTATTTTACATATTTTACTTATATTTTAAATTAAGAATAATTTATAAAAAATATAAAAAAATATAAAAATATTTTTTTCTTATTCAATTAAATTAATAATTATTTCAATTTTTGATTTTCAATAAATTTCCATATATTATCTTGTATAATTAAAAAATAGCTAGTTTTAAAAAATCAAATTTGAATAGTTTAATCAGATATTCGATAGTTATTGAAGTCAGTATTATTTAAAAATTTGGCCATATTTTTTTATGGCTTGTAGCAAACTTCTCATAAGATAGTCATATGATCGACACGAAAAAGGGCGAGTCCAACTTCAATTTTGACGGATCCATATTTAAAGTGGAGTAATTGTGGCAAAAAATTCTCCAAAATGAAGGGTTGTATGTTTAATATCGATGCAGGATATTTAGAGGGTCTTTGCCGTGGATTTAAATGTGGAATTCTTCAACAAAGTGATTATCTTAATCTTGTACAATGCGAAACTCTTGAAGGTAAATTTTATTCAACATTTATATTTTAGTTTTAAAAATAGTAAATGTTATCTAAAATTTAAAATAATTTAATTTTCAAATTGTTATTAATTTATATTTAGTATTAATTATTTTTTACTTCTACAGATTTAAAACTACATTTGGCTGGTACAGATTATGGTAGTTTCTTAGCTAATGAACCATCACCACTTTCTGTCAGTGTGATTGATGATAAATTGAGGGAAAAACTTGTTATAGAATTTCAACACATGCGCAATCATTCTGTAGAACCTTTATCACAATTTTTAGATTTTATTACTTATAGTTATATGATTGATAATATTATCTTACTAATTACCGGTACTTTACATCAAAGACCAATTTCAGAATTGATTCCTAAATGTCATCCACTTGGTAGTTTTGAACAAATGGAAGCTATTCATGTAGCAGCTACACCTGCTGAACTTTATAATGCAGTTTTAGTGGATACTCCTTTAGGTATAAGATATTATGAAATATAATATTAAAATTTTTTATAAAAATTAAAATCATAAAAATATTATTGTTTTATCATATTTTAAATTATATCAAATTATATATATTCAATAAATTTGTAGCACCTTTTTTTGTGGATTGCATTTCTGAACAAGATTTGGATGAAATGAATATTGAGATAATTAGAAATACATTATACAAAGCTTATTTAGAAGCATTTTATAAATTTTGTAAAGATATTGGAGGAACAACTGCAGATACCATGTGTGAAATACTTGCTGTAATAAATTTTATAAAATTAATAATATATAAATCTATATAATAAAGATAATTAATAGATTAATTAATAAATAAAATCTATTAAATAATAAAATAACTGTATAATTAATTTACAGTTTGAAGCTGATAGGCGAGCTATTATAATAACTATCAATTCATTTGGAACTGAATTAGGTAAAGATGATAGAGCAAAATTGTATCCCCGTTGTGGAAAATTGAATCCTGATGGATTAGCTGCATTGGCAAGGGCAGATGATTACGAACAAGTCAAAGCAGTTGCAGAATATTTTGCTGTAAATAATTTTTTTGAAATGAAATCTTATACTTTTTAAGAAATTTATATCTTTGAATTTATATATTATTCGTATATTATTTATATATTTGTATAAATATAATAATAATTTTACATTTGAATTATTTTTGCAGGAATATAGTGCTTTGTTTGAAGGTGCAGGTAATAATCCTGGTGATAAAACTTTAGAAGATAAATTCTTTGAGCATGAGGTAAATTTATATTTACTTCATTAAACTAATATTATGATAAAAATTAGTGCAATAGATATATTCAAATCTTATTAATTTTAATGTTATTACTGCACAGGTTCGTCTAAATGTTCATGCTTTTCTTCAACAATTTCACTTTGGAGTATTCTACAGTTATCTTAAATTAAAAGAACAAGAATGTCGTAATATCGTATGGATAGCGGAATGTGTTGCGCAAAAACATCGTGCTAAAATAGACAATTACATTCCAATTTTTTAATAAGTTTTTGTTTCGTTGATCATTTATATTTAACTGTATAACAATATCGAAAAAACTAAATTTTTCTCTTTTTTCTTTTATTATCACATTCTTTAACTATGAACAACTAATAATTACAATATTTCATGTTATGAAAAAAGAAAAATATCTCTTAAAGAAAAAATATAATTATCTAATTAATAATTGAAATAAAAAAATAATTGTATTTAGCCAATTGGACAGATGATATCAAAAATTATTATTTAACATTATTGTCATATGTAATAAGAGTTTATATCATATAAATGTATATAGTGTATTTTATTGTAGATTAGTATATTATGTTTGATATTAATTAATGTTGTAATTATCAATTCTATTGTAATATAAAGTAATATATAATTCATTCCAATTCCAAATTAAAGATACTCACTTCAAATAATAATATCTTATATTAAATTGATTTTTAATTTTTCTTTACTCTAACCCAAGATAATAATAATTTTAATTATATTAATAACTTTGCAATATATATACATGACTTTTTAATCTTTCAAAATTTCATTTCAAAAATAAAATTTAATCAATCAATTTAAATAAATCAATGTATTCAATAAAAAAAAAGATAAATATTTCTAAAGAATACTTACAATATTTTTATTTATAAAATATGTATATTTTTTATATCTTTTCCAATATATAAAATTTATTTTAATAAATCAAGTAATAATATTCTAATTAATTCATTTATATAATAGTATTTGAAATAATTGGATTATTATAAGTTATTAATGATATAAACATACACATGCAAAAATAAAATTTTATACTTGAAATTAATTCAAAATATTTCATTAAATGACAGAAGTAAATATGAATTTTTGTAATGCTTAAAACAAGTCTATATCCTATACCTTTATGTTTATGAACAAAATTTTTTATAAAAATCTTAATACATTTATTCTAGAGCAGCCTTTCATTTCATAAATAATTTAATAGTATTTTTGCTATTAAAAAATGATACTGAAATCAAATAAGTCTAAAATATAAAATCCTAACGAAAAATATTTCACAGATCTATATATATATATATATCTATATATATATATATATTTATATATATAAATATATATATTTATATATATATATATATATTTATATATATATATTTTTTTAGGATAGAAAATCTTGTTTATATTAGCATAATTTGCTAAATTTTATAAAATTTCGAAACTCTCGAAATCTAGAATGCTTATTTTTCCTTTTTTAAAATATCTATTTTTTATCATTTAAAAACTTAATAAATTTTCATTTTTGAAATTCTTTAAACTCAGATTTATAATTATTTTATAATAATAATCATATTTTTGGCTTGTAATTAAATTTTTATATTTTATCTTTTTTTACATAAATTGGATCAACGAAATTGTACTGATTAAAATAAATATAATCTAAATACAAATTGGATTATTATATTTAAATGTCACAACATTCTTGTAAGTTTTTTTATATAAATTACACTATATCTAGATTTTGAGAGTTTTGTATACAACAAAAATAGCAAAAAGTTTTGAAGTTCAAAAATTCAAAACTTTTTGAGTTTTAACGGTTCAAGTATTCTATCTGTGATATGTATGTATATATACATACATATAAAAATACACATACATATATAAGTATGTAATTTATCATATAAAAATACACTTTCTAAAAAAATAGTAAGATAAAATTTAATTTTTGAATGAAAGATTTACAAAAAAATCAAATATAATCAGAATTATTAATTCTGAATTTTGTAATTCTTTCACCATAATTAATATTTTATAATACCACTTCAGATAAAATGAGATGAAAATATTTTTAATTACTGGAAATAAACTTTCATTATTTTCCGTTAGGATATTTTTCAAATTTATTATAAAAAAAAGAGACATAAACACTGCTTATCTTCTACAAATTCGTTCACTTTCACATTGCATTCTTTCTCCATCTGATTCTCTACTTCTTACTGGATGTACTTCTTCATTTATAGAATTCACATTAGCAACTGAAGATGGTGGAGTATTATTAATATGTTTCATGTTAGCGGTTGGTGATGGTGGTTTTGTTGTTCTGATTGGATTTGTAGTAACATTATTAACTAAATTTGGAGGTTGATAAGTTGCTAAACTTTTTAATCCAAGTACTTCTGGATTTTCTTTCCAAAAACGATCTCCAATAATATCATCTACCAATGGAACGACTGCAGGTTTTAGTCTACCTGTTCCATCAGGTACTAATTTTCTTATAAGTGTAGTTCCTTTTCGGAAAAGTGGTGGTTCATTATTGTAATTTATACCAAATTCTTGAAAAAGTAATTCATTTTTATGTGAAGCCAGTGTACCTCTAAGCTTAACTTCTGCCTAAAAATAAAAAAATTATAATTATAAAATAAATAATTACAAGTAAAATAATAATTTTAAAAAATATGATATAAATATATATCTATATAAAATAATATAATGAATAAAAATAAATAAAATGAATAATATAATATATATTTATATATAATTATTATTTTTATAATAATATATATAGAAATATATAAAAATTAAGAAATAATATAACATATATATTTATATATAATTATTATTTTTATAATAACATATATAGAAATATATAAAAATTAAGAAAAGCTAATTATAATAATTTAATTATAAAATTATAATAATTTACCTGGCTTGGAGTTAATTTTCCTTTTAATACAAGATTCCAAAAGCAAGTATTATATAAATTATTTACATGAGCATCAGCTTGTCTCCATGCTAAATAATCCCTTAAATTTTTATCCGTAGGATATAATACAACGCGAGCATCAAAAGACGGTGGATAATATAATTCTTTGCCTTGGAAGAAACGAGGCCAATGATAAACATATGATGATGCAAAAAGAGAATTTACATTTGTCATCAATTTTGAAGCTAAAATATTATAAAAATATTTTAAATAATATATTTATATTATGGCACTATAAAACATAAATATAATATAATATAAATAATAATTTTAATAATAAAGTAACGCATATATCACATATATATATTTTTTGTTTTTTATTATTTATTTATTATTTTAAATTTATTATGTTTTAAACTACTTTTTAAAATATACCTCTTCGTTTGTAAAGTTCAGTGTCTTTTCGAAAGACGAAAGAATATTCATCACTTTGACCAAATCCTAAAATGATTTCTTTGAAATCTTCCATAACCGTAATAGCCGCGCGATTCATTAATTGCAAAGCAGCTACATCGTTCGGTTTGGTAAATTGATGCGCTTCACAAAATTTCGAAAAATTTCTTCCATCTATTCTAACCACAATCCAACAATTTGGCAAACAACAATCATCACGTTCAAATTCTTTTACATATTCAAATTTACTTTTAGCCATTCTCATCAAACTTATGTGCCGGCTATTGACCACTTGTTTGACCAAGCTAATGATTTTCAGGAAGTTGCTTCCTGTTGTCAGAAAATACAACATTTCCTGAAACTGCTGAGTGTTGAAGTCTCCACTGTCGAGTTCATTTCAGTTTAAGATGTGCACAATATGTCTCAGAACGTACTTATTAAAAAACTGCCATTAACTTTTTATGATGAAATAAATTAACACTTGATACGTATATTTCTAAATAGCCACGTGTGCGTTTATTGGTTAGGTATAATCATTTGTGTTATTATGTACAAAAATATTCAAATTAAATAAAATACTAATTTGTAATAAATTCTTATAAATTAAGAATATTTAAATAAACGAAAAATATATTTATAATTTTAATATTTTTATATAAGTATATTTATATATATATACACACAGATATATATAATATAAATTTATATGTATATATATATATATACATATATTAAAAAAAAAAAAAATTGTAACAATATGGATTTACACGAACGCTATATGCATATTTCAACAATAGATTTCTCGATTTTAGAATTATTAGAAATTGCATTTAAAGATGATCCATTTTTATTGCTACATCGTTTAAGTAAATATTATAACAATGAAATAATAAGAAATAATTTACACGCAAAAAAATTATATACATTTCGAATGATTTTGTGTTATGAATATCAACTTATATTTCATACAACAAATAAGTATGTTAGAATAATTCCAAATGATTTATGTTTCAAAACAATAGAAAATACTTTATTTGTAAAAGATAAATTACAAAATTTTTTTGAATATCCAATTTTATATGATATTGTAATTTTACAATTAACGCTTTACTGTAATTCACAATGTATTGAGCAACACATGATAAATTTTCGTAAATCGAATGTTAATAATTTAAATAATAATGAAAGCAAAATTTTATATTTGAAAATATTAGAATGTTTTTTAGAATCATTACAATTAAAAAAATATTTATATAATGATTTGGAATCAAATCTATTGAAACGTTTTAATTCTCTATATCTAAAAGATATGATATTATGGTTACAAATAAAAGAAAATAAAGAATGGCAATTATTTGCTTCAATTTTGCCAAAATTAATAAATACTTTTGGTTATGAAGATATTTTGCCACCCATGTGGAATTATATTTTAAATAAAATGGATGATTTAAAAGATTTATTAAGTGCACTCAGCATTTTAACAGATATATGTTTTTCTGTAAATTTAAAAAATATTAGTTTCATGCATTATGACATATTTTATATAGAAAAACTATGGTTGTTATTATTACAAAGTTTAAAATCTTCAATACAACAATATCGTAAACAAGCATTATTTATAATGAAACGAATAACTGATTTCATAAGTACTATAAATGAAAATGACTTGAAATCAAAAAAACATAAAATTATTCCTTTCATTTGCCATCAATCAGTTAAAACAAAAATATCAATAAATGACATTAAACAAAATTATTTTTTAATATTAGAAGCTTTAGAAGAAAAACATCATCATTTAATATTACCTGCATTAACTTATTTACCAATATTGATAAAAGGAAACAAAGAACATACTGTATGTAACAATTGCTTTGACAATATTTGGTTACAATTAATTTTTGAGAGAATATTATTACATGAAAATAATACCATAGTAAAACAAGGTATATTATATATTTGTAATTCACCTATCTTTTTGTATGACAATCAATTTTTAAAATTATTTATACATGTTTTAAATAATACATATTTATATGAATGTCAAACTTATCAACAAGAACCAGAAATATTAAATGATATTATAAAATTATTTATACATGTAAAAACTGAACAAATTGAATTTCTTAATAAAGTTTTTAAGATAATGAGTGAAGAAACATGGGCTCCAATACCAATATTTTATATGTTGAAAATTTTAAGAATAGTATCAAGTAAAGTATCAAATTATTGGGAAGACAATCAATTAAATTTAATTAAATCTTTGATTCAGAAAAATTTAAGTATGCACTCATATATATTAAGGATTGCATCTCAAATTGAACTTTTAAACATAATATTCCTTTCTGTAAAAAAAATTAATGATTTAAAAATTGCAATGAATATGTTATTAGAATTTTCTTTAGAAGAAATATTTATAAGAAATTCATATCTATGGGATGATATAATAACATGGCTGAAAAAAATATTGATAAAAGCAGATGTAATAAATTTTATTAAATTTATTTGTGAAGAATATACATATAAAAATTTGCATCCCAAATTCAATCCTGCTAAATTTGCTATTATTATTATTATGTTTTATGATACAAATCTAATAATAGAACAGAAAACATGTCCTATAGAGGAAATACTTAATAATTGGCTATTAGCTATTAAGAGAATAGATGTAAGACCTTATGCAAATATTACACATATTTTCTATATGGTAGAATTTATGTCACATTTACTTAATTTAAATATTACAAAAAATCATAAAAATATCAAACAACTATTGTCTTTATATATTAATGATGCATTAAAATTTTTACTTAAAAATAGTAGAAACATACCATATAAATTCAATTATGAAGAAATGAACAGATACCTTATTACAATTATTTTAATTCTTAATAATGGATATTTACTTTTAACAGAAAAAGAAATTTTATATTATGTTGAAAAATTTAAAAATGAAAGTATATTTATCATTGAAAATATAAAGCAATATACAAATATGCATTATTTATATGCATTACATATTTTACATTGTACACAAAATATTTTGTGTGCAAATTATGCATCATTTTACATTCAACCATTGTTAAATATTTGTGACATTCGCATATATAATAATGATGAAAGTGAAATAAAATTTAAAGGAAAGATAGCATCAGATTGTTATATATTACTTGCAAAACTTATAAATCAATTTTTTATCAAAAGTGGAAATTGAAATGTGGCCTCAGAAAATTGATTGGAATAAAAATATTTCTTATTTATTTGAAATGGGAGGAAATGAAATTGTTCCAGAAATAGCATTAATATTGAAAACAATGGTTAATAAGGGAGCAATGCAAAATCTAGAAAATAAGTTAAATTTAGAATCTATTTTTACTGATTGTTGGAAGACCACATTATTGAGTACAAAGAACAAAACTTACTTCCTAGCAATAGAAAATCTTATAGGAGTTATTATAAATAATAATTTTTTAATACTACCCAATATTAAGAATTTTGTAAACAATGTAAGAAAGTGGCATATTAATTAACAAATTAGTATTTTTTAAAATATTAAAATTATTTTAAACTTTTAGTTTATCAATCAATTACTTGAAGAAAGTAATAATGTATCAAAATTAAAAAAATTTTTATTAAATGAAATGAGATTATTAAATACATATTGTTTAAAAAATTTGCAAGAACCATTATTAGCATGTCTACTTCATGGACCTGTACTTCGAAAAGACAAACAAATAGAAAATCAAGTTTATTTATATATTATAAAAAATTATCAAAATTGTTATCCACAACACATACAAATAATGTGAGTATTTTTATAATTTTTAATTATATTGTATATATTTTATATACTTGTAATTAATATTTTAACTTTATTAATAGAGATTATAATATCAGAGCAACTTCTGTTATTCTGTTACATAAAATAATTAATGAAGATAAAGAATTTGCATCAATATTTCTTCCAATTATTTTACAAAAATTAGAAAAATACAAAAATAAACGATATTTTAATTATTCTTATATACATAAAATAAAACATAGAATTATGCAAATTTTGTTAATAATGCAGCCAATTTTAATTAAGGTAATAAAAAATACATTTTATAAAGTAGTAAATAAAAAAAATTAAATTCATTTACAGGATGATATTATAACATTACAAGAATTTCTTTTAAATTTATTACTTTTGGAAAGTAATCAACATAGTGTTAGAATAATGCAAGAATGGATATTAATAAAAATTTTTGTAGAAAATGTGGAATTTCATCCTAAAATCTGGGAATTTTTTGAAAAGGTATTTAAATAAGCTTTGTTTCTTTTCCATAAAATTTATTTTTTATACATATAAAAAGTTCAACTAATTTAATATGTGTAGGGTATTACAATACGTCCAGGATGTGTTAGTTCCATAATATGTATTGTTTATCATATTTCTAAACTTCTTTCTAAAGATTCTCAAAGCAATTTTATTTTAATAGCATTGAATTATATTGCCCGTTGTTGTTTAGGACAACAATATAATATGCGTCTTTATGCTCAGGTAAATTATATTATATTAAATTATAAAATAAATTATAGTTATATTATTATTTGTTTATAACAGATTATTTTTGTAAAATTGTATAAAATGTTGGAACAATTAAATTCTGATCATGTTATGTTACAATATGAAGGATTATATAATGCTGCAATTACAAGTTTAAAAGATGGATTAATAAGAAATTCAAGTAAAATTGAAGATGATTTTTATCTTTCTACATTTCATCCTATATTGGATTATACCTTACAAGTAAATTAATTAAAAATAAAATTAATATTTAAATCTATTAAATGGAAATATTCATAAAGACATATATATGTATATATATATACATAATTATATTATAAAATTATTTAAATAATAAGATTTTTCTTATTTGTAGACAATTTATTTTGAATTACCTCGATTGACTGATATGGATGCAAGTGAATGGATAACTCCAAATTTCTTTACTATTTTGAATTTCAAAAAATTTAATGGTCATGCACTTCAACTGTATAATTTAAATAAATCATTATCTGATATTAAAACATCATCATATTTAATGAAACGTTCAGGTGATTTATTAAAATATATCATCATGATTATAATAATTTCTAATTACATTTTGTATATATATAATAAATATTAAATATAAAATAAAAAAAAATATAGGTGATACAGAGCCATTCATAAAAAAAAGTAATATGGACTTTGAAGAATTAAGTGATATTCAAAAAAAATTAATCCTATAATGTCTGTCAATTTATCACATAATGATATTTTTCCAACAATCAGAGAATCTATTTCTCATAAAAGAACATTGGATGAAGAAAGCCTTATAGTTGTAGCATGTCTTCTTAGTCGTATTCCAAATTTAGGAGGACTTGCTCGTACTTGTGAAATTTTTAATGTCAAAGAATTAGTTATTGCTAATTTGAATCAAGTTAAAGATAAAGAATTTCAAAATCTTAGTGTATCAGCTGAAAATTGGATAAATATTACAGAGGTATTTCAGTATTATATTAATAATGGTTCAGAAATTCTTATAATAAACTTAACTTAATCATTACAGATAAAACCATATAAATTATGTAAATATTTGTTGGATAAAAAAGATATGGGATGGTCTTTGGTAGGAGTGGAACAAACAGCTAATAGTATAAATTTATTAAATATGAAGTTTGAAAAAAAAACAATTCTTGTTTTAGGGTAAGTAATTATAAAATTAAATAGATCGATATAAATTAAAAAATAATTATTATTTTCAGAAATGAAAAGAGTGGAATTCCTGCAAATTTGATACCTTTGTTTGATACTTGTATAGAAATACCACAAGCTGGTGTAATTCGATCATTAAATGTTCATGTTAGTGGAGCAATATGTATATGGCAATATGCAAAACAACATATATTAACATAGTCTTATTTTTTATCATAATAAATAACTATCTAATATTATGTCTAATATTAATTTTTTATAAATAGAATATAAATTTTTTGTTTAACCAAATTTTTATTAAATAATAGAATAAAAAATGCTTTATTAAATAATATTAATGTTTATTTATATAATTAAAATTAAGTTTATATTTATGTATTTATTTGACTATTATACAGATTATATTCATATAAACAGAAACACATTTTTATACTTTATATCCTGCAAGATGTTGTTTTCCAATACATTCTCCAACAAAAAACCAACATAAGACTTCAATTCCAACTAATGTATTTAACCAAGCTTCGCGTACAGTAAGTTGAAGAAATCGTCTCTCTTTGGCAGAAGTAATCAGATTTTGGAAACCATTTCTTATAGCAGGAATATCAGATATTTTTGGTGGAACTAATTCAACCTTTGCATAATATGTAAATTTTCTTAAAGCAGGTCCAGATTTTGTTACTCCAACTGTAATAAACACAATTATAAATCATAATTAATATATTTTATTTAAATTAATAAGAAAAAAACTATTAATGTCAATATCAATATTAATAAAATATCAATTAATAATATTATTAATGAATTATTTAAAATCATTATGAAATGCCAATGATGAAATATAATTTAAATTTAAGGAAATGAAAAAATTAATTCTAGTACAGAGAAGATATTAGTGTTATATAATAATATTTTATAACTAAATTATAACTAATTTCATTATAAAAAATGATTATAATAATTAAATATCAAATACATACGTTTGATTAATGTTGTTAGTTCTCCTACAATTTTCGACATTTTTAATCACTATAATTGTTTGTAAAAGTACAGAAATACAACTGCTCTTTACAATTCTTTTGCAAATGATAGTTCTGACATCTAACGGTAAGTAGAATCAAGTCGATAAAGTATATATTCGATATTTTTATTCGATATTAAATATTTATTATTATTGTCGATATTTTATTGCAATAAATTTTTAAGTATTTAAAAAAAAATAACCATTACATTGAATATTGTAATCATTTATTAAAAGAATAGGAAAGCTATAAAATAATATTTTGAAAGTTTAACATCAGTATCAATATCAATTTGTAGATAGATTCAAACTAGTTTTTAAAATGATTATCATAATTATAAATTCAAATTCATGAATATTATTGTATAGACGAAAAATTAAATTTCTTTACTCGATAAAGTAGATTCTCGAAAATATATATATATATATATTTAATGAAAATTTAATATATACAATTAATGAATAGACCACCATTAGTGTAGATTTATAAATTTATAAAGAAAAAGAAAATATTATATTCTTCTTGTTTTCATTTCGATTGTTTTTATCATTTTTCAATAAATTGTTTAAAAAAGATTTTCTATATGATTAATTTTCATAAGATAATAGATTATATATTTCATTTATGCTTATATTTTCGTTATGCTAATCGATAGTAAGAAAAATGGCGCCTTCACCAGAGAGTTTAATTGCTGTACAAAAGCAAATTTTTACAAAAATCAGCAATAATGAAGTATCTGAACTAAAAGTATTATTAACAGCAAATAAAATCAAAATTGATTTTGTGGATGAAAATGGTATGAGTCCACTACAACATGCTTGTTACAAAGGAAACAAGGAAATAGTACAGATGCTGTTGGACCAAGTAGGTTAACTTTTTAAGATTGTATGAAACAATAAAATATAATTTAAAAATTTTTTAATTTTAAATATCCAAAGTTATTTGTAAAAAAAAAAATAATAAAAAATGCATATTATTTATATAAAAAAAAATGAATGAAAATATATTTTATATATAAATTTTTGACTTTCTTTTTTTATCTATGTAATAAATAAAATTCCTCAACAACAATTTATCAAATATTTTTTTTAATTTTTAAAATATAATCTCTTTTCATTTTACATTCTAACAAATGAATACTTGTTTTTAAATATAATTAACTTATATATGTATATTAATGAATTTTGAAAATAAAATAATTTTTATCAAAAAATATTTTTTGAAAGTTTAAAAAAAAATAAATAATGAATATTATAAAATTATTAAAGATTGGAATTTATAATTGATTATTCAAAGAATTATTGTATAATATATTTGAAAAAAATTAAATTCTAAGAATATTGAGAGTTATTATCTATAAAATATATGAAATTTATTATTTAAGAAATAAATTTAATAAGTAAATATTGAATAATATAAAATATAATCATAATATTAATTATATGATAATATGAATAATTAAAATATTTTATTATAGGGAGCAGATGTAAATGCATGTCAACATGAACATGCATATACAGCTTTGCATTTTGCCGCTCTTAGTGGAAATGCTGAACTTTGCCATCTTCTAATGTCTTATGGAGCACGTTTAACAGCAACAAACAGTGTAGGACGAACTCCAGCACAAATGGCAGCATTTGTGGGAAATCATAATTGTGTAGCAACTATTAATAATTTTATTCCAAAAGCTGATATTGATTATTATGTTAAACCACAAGGTTTACAAACTGAATCAATGCTTCCTCCACATTTGGCAGATTCTTTTCACAAATTTATAATACAAATAAATGTACATCCTGTACGTGTAGCTATGAATTTACAAAGATATCCTGGCCTTTTAGAAAATGCTACTAAGGTAAAGTTAATACATATTTTTTAGATAAATAGATAGTTATAATTTATTGAATTATAATTTTTTTCTTACAATGTAAATAAACTAATAATTTCATTACTATTTTTTTTTTTATAATTTTTAGGTACAAAAAGTTTTAGAATCTATGCATCACAAAGAAATGACAAAAGGTGCAGAAACAAATGAAGTGATGGCATTTAAATATCATTATCTAAGTTGTGTTGTGGCTGAAGTGATCAAATTTCAGAAGAGACAAGAAGCAATGAAAGCAGAAAAAATTGACAAAACAAATGAAGAAGGAGAAGAAAAAAATCAGATACTATTGAAGGTTTAATAAGAAAATTTTTAAAATGTAGTAAAAGTGATGGTATACCAGAATATCAGGAAGCTTTTCTGAGAGAAAGTGTAAGAGAATTTCCATATAGAGAAAGTACAATTTTTCGTCAAATGGTTGCAACTCTTGCAGCTAGTGATCCACCATCTGCAGTATCAGTAGTATCAGCTGCAATTGATGGTCAAAGAGCTTTTTTAGATAATACTACACTTTGCATTACATGTGGAGAAGATAAAGCTAACAAAAAATGTAGCAAATGTAAAGCAGTGCAATATTGTGACAGGGAATGTCAAAGACTTCATTGGTTTATGCATAAAAAAGCATGTACCAGATTAGGTCAAAATATAACGCCAAATGCAAAAATAAGTGATGCGGATAAGGAACAAATAAGCAATGCTGTAAGCTCTAGACTACAAAATCTAAGTGTTAACTAATATAATAAAAAATTTAATTCTAAACAAATAATTTTAATGTGCTGTATGTATCTATTTAATTTTGTATTACATTCTTCAGTTGAAAAATTGAAAAAAAAAGATAATTCTATTTCATATATTCGACGAATAGTTTTGATTTTTTACTTTTTAGATTTACAAAATCTAATGAATTTTTTATGCATTGTAATACATTTTTATCCTCTTTAATCTGAAAAATTCAACATATGTTATAAATAATTATTATCATCATGTATTATAAATAGTGTCAATATGCAACTCAGTTAAAATGTTATTTCCTCAGGATTGTATTCTTGTGGTTGTCATCGCCATAAAAATAAAATATACTTATAATCAAATTTGTATTATTTTAAAATGTTATTGCTTTCAAAATATCATAAATTTGTCATATACATTGAAACTATATACATTGAAGTGAAGCCTAAAAATAATTTTTTTAAAATATTTAGGAAATATAATTTTTTTAAATATAATGAAAATATGGCTTGATTGGTATATACATAAGTAAATGACAATTAAAATATTTAAACATTTTTAATTATTTTCAGATGACTAATTTGTCTAAAATTTTAAATTTATTTTTATATTACTTGTTATATGTGAATTATCTAGTCCTTATTATACGTTGTTTTTATATTTAATTATTTTTGTATATGACAGAACAAATATATTTTTAAAAAAAATCATAGTTAAAACTCCAAATTATATATCTTGCAAAAAAAAATAAATAACAAAGACTAGATTTGTTTACCTGTTTTAAAAATGAATTGTTTTTTTGTTTCTATAAACAATACAAATTATTTTGTCTAATAATAATCTGTAAATCCTATATCAAAAAACATATCTTCTGGAAATGACTGTTTTAATATCATTTTTTAACTTTTTTTATAATATTTATTAACCATATTGATAAGAAAAAAAAATATGTTTTCTAATCTTCTAAATTTATTTTTCTTTTTAAAAAAAAAATCTTAAATATATATTTTCAATTGATATACTTATTTTTGTTGATATGTTTAGAAATATAAGATTTGTACTATATAATGTTAAATATTATGATAAATATTAAATTCTATCTTTTCTGTTTTTATAAATATATTAAACAAATTGTAAATAAAAAATATTTTACTAAATATCATAAAATAATTGTAATTCAAATAAAAATAATATATTTTATTTCTTTATTTATTTATCCATATATACTTTCAATACTGATATAAATTAAAATATATTATCTTTATATTTAATTTGAATTATATTTCATTTATATTTTTAGGAATTTTTTAAAGCTTAATAAAATTAATTTTATTACAAAATTAAATATATTGACCAAATAATTTTAATTATTTTATCATAAATTATATTATTTAATTTTGATATATTTATTTTTAAATAAATATATTAAAAAAAATAAATATCTTATAAATAAATATATTTTTTAATATTTAATAATACTGCATTAATTATAATTAGTTTAATAAAAATCATTTTTAAAACATATTTAAATTTCTTTTCAAATAATTAAATATATAATAATAAAGTGTTTCTATTACATTGAATGTATGATTAAGTATCTAAGACTTCAGGTTTTCATCTTATTCATAAAATCTACTTACATATATATATATATATATTTATATCATCATATATATATATATGTATTTCATATATTTC